CATTGGTCAGACTAACCAAAGAAAGTGCTGCGTGCGTGCGTGCAGAGGAGGCGGAGAGGGAGGCGGCGTCGACGAAGCGGGAGCTGGAGGACGTCAAGGTGAAGCGCGAGGAGGCCCGCAAGCGCCTCCGCCTCAAGCAGCAGCAGCAGATCCAGTCTCTCAAGGTACGCCCCCCACCCACCCCACCCCACCTCACCCCCGCAGAGCTCCCGCGTTCACGTCGGCAAACCCGAATTGTCTCCACCAACCAACCGACCGACCGACCGACCAACCGGCCCGTGGCAATTGTGCGGTGGCGCGCGTGTGCGCGTGTGCGCAGATGAATTCGATGCAGCGGCAGATAGGGCAGAAGCAGCAGTCCCTCGCGGCGCCCCCGCCCGGTGCCACCTACCCCCCCCCCACCCCGCCGCCCGTTGTGGCGCGCCTTGCATTGACCCTCGTTGACCTCCGATCTGGTGGTGGCTGGTGGCAGGGTCGCGTGCGAGTTCGCGGCAGAGCACGCGGGCGTCGAGGCGGGTGTCAGGAGGTCAGGTGGTGAGCCACATCACGCGCGTCATCCAGGAGATGGCCCGTCTGGAGGCCACCGTGACGTCGGCCGAGGAGGCCCAGGCGCGGGCCGAGAGCGAGCTGCTCGAATACGCCGCCGAGCGACGAAAGACCGAGGAGGCCCTCGTCGCCATGCAACAACAGCTCGAAAATGTAAGAATCACCCATCATCCCCGATCACAAGACACATTCAACTCTCCCAGGCAACAACCCTGTAAATATGTTGCATGGTAACAAACCAGGTGACCACCATGCTGGGGTCGGCGATCGACGAGATGCGGGGCGACGCGCAGCTCGTGGAGCTGCTCACGGAGGTCAAGGTGGGCCTCAACGGGTGCCACATGATCCTCACCTGCAAGACCCTCACCCTGCCCGCCGCCGGTGGCGCTCAGGGAGGCGCCGCCGCCTCCTCCCAGCAGGAGAAGCTCGCCAGGTGCGCACCCCCTCCCCCCAAAAAAATGCAATCTGCGCGCAATTCGAATGCCTGACCGGCCGGCCGCTCGTGAAGGCGCCGCGGCATGACCTTTGGCGCGGCCCCCGCCGTGCCGTCGGCGCCTGCCCCGCCGCCCCCCGCCCCCGCATCGTCCGGCTTTGTTCCTCCGCCTCCGCCGCCCGGTGCGCACGAATTTCTTTTCTTTTCTTTTCTTTCATGCTGGCGCGTGCAGCTCGGGTGGTGTGCTGACCAGCGCGCAACGTCTGTGGTGCCCCGTGCGGCCAACAGCGGCCGACTTATCTCTGCTGTCGGCCATCCGAGAAGGCAAGCAGTCGGCTGACCTGCAGGCCCTGCGTCAGGTTTCTACTTCCACACCCCTAAGTCTCACACACACGCCACGCGCACCACCGCACACGCACGCGCACGCACTGGTGCCTCACTATCTGATGTATGTTGCTGTGACCGGGGATGTGCCGAGCAGAAGAGGGCGAGCATGCGCAAGAGCGTGGTGGTCGTCCAATCTCTCACGGACACCCTCCGCGAAGCCATGAAGATGCGCAATGATGCCATGATGGGCGGTGAGGACGACGATGACGAAGACGAGGATGACTGGCTTGGCTGAAAAGTTCTCTTTGTTTTAAAGAAGAAGTCTCACCCAATCTTTTCGCTGCAAGTGACCAACAGTCGAGAAGAGACGTCGACGTTTTGCGGGGGTGCGGTTTGTTTTTACTACTAAAACAACATGTTGTAAGCTCAAGTACAGGGGGGGTGCTCCACCAACGACACCAGTCTGGCTGGCCGGTGGTGAAGGGGATGTCTTCATAACACATTTTTCTATAAAGTGGCATTGGGCGCGGTGGTCGCGAGAGAGTGGCACCCACTCCTCAGAGAACCTTGAGGAGGTCCTGGGCCTTGCGCTTGTCGCCGACCGTGTAGGGGAGCTGCTTGCCGAGCTGGAGCTGCTGGTGGAGGGTGCCGTCGTGGAGGGCCATGTTGAGGTCACGCGAGAGGAAGCGCTCCTGGGGCAGTGAGTCATGGAGGTGCCTGGGCGAGGACGAGGCCATCCAGCTGCCCCACGCGGGCATGGCGTAGCTGGCAGGCTCGGGGGTCTCGCCGGCGAAGAAGGTCGAGGGCGACGGCAGGACGGCCGAGTGCTGCGACATGTGGTCGTGCTCGGCTCCAAAGGGCATGCTCGAGGGCACGTTGAGGCCGGTGAAGCCCGGCGTGTAGGTGGTGTGGCGCGAGTGGCCCGACGAGGAGGAGCCGGGGAAGCTGGCCGAGGAGACCGACGAGGCGTCGGGGATGGCCAGCGAGAGGTTCTTCTTGTTGAGCTTCTGCGCGAACTGCTGCTCCTGGTGGAGCCGGCCGGCCGACGAGGCCCTGCGCATCTCCTCGGCGTACTGGCCGCCGCTGCCGGGGGGAGTCGGCGGGTTGGAGTGGGGCGACTGGGGCTTGGCGCCCTCGAACGTGGGCGACACAGAGCCGGGCGCGGCGAAGCTACCACGGTGGCTCGGAGGCGACTGCGAGCAGTGGTTGGGGGGGGGCAGGTAAGCGACATAGCTCTGCTGCTGTAGAGGGGGTTGTGGGGGGGTGCGTACGATGCGGCCACCGGGGGTGCTGCTGTTGGCGTTGACGTTGTTGGCGGAGGTACTCGGGGCAGAGTAGAGGGAGGGGGTGATGATGTTGCTACGGGACGGGGACGAGGAGGACTGCTGCTGGGACGACGGGAACTGGCCGGTGCGCGTGGCCGGGTAGCCGCCACCCACCATGTAGGGCGCGGGGTAGCTCGCGGCCAACTGCTGCTGGGGCGCAGAGAGGCGGGCGAAGCCGGCGGTGGGCGACACGGGCTTGACACCGAGAGGAGGCGAAGGTCCGCGGGGCACGAGCGTCGGCACGGGGGCGGCCGAGGGGCTAGAGCGGCCGTCGTGGTGCGCGGCGGGGGCGAGGGGCTTGACCGCGACGACGGGGTGAGAGGGGGCGGCGGCGGAGGCGGCCTGGAGGGGGGCGGGGCTCTCAACGCGGGCCTTCTTGGCGGGCGACTCCTTGCTGCTGGCGCACGTGCCGGTCACGAGGGCCTTGTTCTTCTTGCCGAACAGCTTGGGGTAGTCGTCGCTGGTGAGGGGCTCGGCGTGGGGTTCTTCGAAGCCGCCGTCGGTGTAGCGCAGGAGCAGCTGATCCATGTCGCTGCTGCTGTACTGCGTCAGCTTGTTGTTACCGATGACGATCAGGGCGACTTCGCAGCCGCACAAGATGGCGAGCTCCATGGCCTTCTTTACCAGACCATTCTTGCGCTTGTTGAACGTGGCCTAAAATCACAACGTGCACAAGAAAAGAGGATGAGCCATTCATTCCAATAATGAACCAGGCGCAGCAGGGCTGTTGTTGTTGTTGTTGATGATGATGATGGCAGACGTACCAAGCGAGTCCTCTCATTGGTGATCCTTTCGATCTTGATCTTGTTCCGTCCCATTGATGTGCGTGTAGCGATGCTTTGTAGCGGTGGTCCCTCCCTCTACTCTGTCCCAAGTACCTGCGATGCGATTGACGAGTAGAACTGCTTCTGTTGGGCGATTGGATGTGGATGCGGCTTGCTGGTGTCGAGTATGAAGTGGCTGGCCGAGGAGAGATGCGGCGCGGATGGTGAAGAAGTGCGGCTAAAGGCTGAAGTGGCGAGGAAAGTGTTGGCGGATAGGGTAGATATGGGCGTGGGCTGGCGATGGGCAGATGGAAGGGTTAAAAAATAAAATGGCCCTCTAAATTAAGCTGTGGCGAAGAAGTGGCGAGGCGGCAGGTGGCAAGAAGCAGAAGCTGTTCGATGAACGAGAGGTATGCTGACGATTGATCTCGCTAGTTAGAGCTCAAACAGTCGGCTCGAGGAATCCTCTCAGTAGCTGCGACTGTGTGCTGGAGTAGCGATGGAAACAGGGACTGCAAGTGCTGAGAGAAAGCAATGGACAAGAAAGAGAAATTAGATCGAGCTTCAACGCAGTCATCCAAAATATAGAGGCAAGTTCGCATACCCCTTGGAAGATGGAGGTGCTGAGGTACGGCCGCTTTCGTTGGTGGATCGTCGAAGGAGAAGCTTATGCGTGGAAGGCTGAGCCTTAGGAGCTTGCTGGAGGAGTACTACTGGGAGTATTGATGCTCTTGGCCGAATAAAATGGGTCGATTACTGCGCTCGGGGCAAGATCGGGAACGTTCGTTGAGGTGGTATTAGAGTTCTAGCGAGTGGTTGCTGATGTCGGGAGTAGAGGAATTTCTTTCGATCAGGTGGTCGCGTTCGGGGCGAGATTTGGGAGCGAGGGTCTTGTCGAAGCGGTGGAGCGGTGGCCGAGGTGGAGGAGTAGTTCGCGGTGCGGTGGTGGTGCGGTGAACAAAGGAAGGCTATTTGCGGCGGAGGCTCCGCTTTTTTCGGTTGCGGGAAGGAGGCGCAACACGAGCGCAACGGCCGACCAATGGCCAAAGGGCCTCTGGAATGCAACCATCTGGGCAACGCATTCCTTGCCTTTCGGAAGCTTTGTCGCAATCCTCGGGCCTCGGCACGTGCTTCGGGGGGTGCGCACTGTTGTCGCGATGATCCAAGGACCACGCAGTTTGAAAGTTCACTGGTGGCCACGGAAGCGGTTCCACCAATGGACCATCTTCTTTGAATCGATTGCCGGTGTTCTGGCAAGTTTCTCCATTTCGAACCGGGATAATTGTAGGGTTGGCGACGGTGCCAGGAATGCTTGGCACTTTACTGGAATGGTATTTCTTCTTCTCTGAGTTCGTGAAGTTCAACGCCAGGAGTTCACTTACGCTTCTTGGTGGGGCCTAATTAGGGTACAGCTGCCAGAACGCGAGAAAAGGGGTTCTTGGCACGGCTCGCTGCGATCAGTCCACCAGCGGTGGCAGCGAGTCGATCGCGCTCACCTGGTTCGTTGTTGCCGGCAAAGTAGCTGTCGACGACGATGACGAAGACGAGGGAGTGTCTTTGGTGGGCGGGGGCACGGTGGCGGGAGCGTAGGCCGCCAAGAAGGCGCGTAGTTCCTCCAGTAGGTGCGGCGAGAGCTGCCCACCGAGCTCTTCCACCGAAGTGGGTCCAGCCGGCACGTCATCGTGGCCCTCCTCCTCAGCCGCCTTCGCATCTGCATCGATGGCCTCCTCCTTGCTTTCGCTCTCCTCCTCTTCGTCATCTTCGACGGGCGTGCCGGCACGCGGGCGCTGGGCGCGGTACAGAAGCGCCGCCAGGAACTCCAGCGTGGCCTTCTTCAATCGCGGCGCACTCGCCCTGTGCGTCGACCCCAAGCCATGACGAAATCGTGAGAAAAAGCGAACGTGTGAGAGGCGTGAAGGGGAAGAAGATGATGATAACGATTACGATGATGAAACGATAGATGAAGATGATGATGAAAAAATGAGATGAAGTGGGAGTGGTACCGGTCGGAGAGCTCCAGCATCCAGGTGGCGTTGGAGGATTCGAGGGACTGCTCGAGCGCGGCCTCGCACAGCTGCTTAAGGTCGTCGAGGAGGAAGCGATCGGCGGCGAGCAGGAGCTCCACCACGGTGTCCGGGTTGATGTTCGGAAGCGACGGGTCATCGGCGGCCGCCTCCTCGATGCTTCCGCTGGCGCTGGTGCCGTTGCTGCTGACGGTCTCCTCGGCCGGCAGTCGGCCCGTGTAGATGTACTCGAGCATCGCCATAAACACGCGCGGCTGCGTGCCCTGGATGGCCACCGGCTTGCTCTTGGCTGTGTCATGTGTGTGTGGTGTGTGCTGTGGTGAGACGGCTGACAACAAACAGGTCAGCGGGTGGGACGCAACGTACGTTGTTCGCCCTCGGCAAAGGAGGAGCCGAAGATGCGCTTGAAGTAGTCCGAGCGGGAGGTGAGGAGCACCTTGTGCGCGTGCACGTGCCTCACCTGGCCCTCGGCCTCCCCCTCCTCCTCGTCGGCCACGGCGAACACGACGTCGCTCCACTCCGGGCCGTCCACCACCTGCGCCAGCTCGGCGGCAAACGTTGACTTGGGCGGCTTGTACTGGCGCGAGTGGCTCTGGCTGTGCAGCTGGGCCTGCTCGTGTGTGTCGTATGTCGTGTGCCGTGTTAAAGAGATGAATGAGAGGAGAAGCAGCAAGGCACGGTACCGTGCAGAGGGCCTCGAGGCGGGGCAGGCGGAACTTGGCGGCCACGCGCTTGATCTCGCCCAGCCAGTGAGAGGCGGCCTTGAGGTGGTCGGTGTAGAGGTAGTGCAGGACGGCGGTGAACACCTGCTGACGCATCTGCGGGAGCTGCACCACGGGGTTGGGGTCGGGGCTCGAGTCGGCGTCGGTCGGGCGGAAGCGGTGGGCGAGGAGCGTGTAGGCGCCGAGGTAGGGGCAGCGCGCGAACACGATGGCCCGATGGGCCGCGAAGGTCTTCCCGTCCACGCGGAAGCTCACGTCGCTGTACCGCGGGTTGTTCAGCGCCACCTTAAAGTCGAACGCGAACAGCGTCGACGATCCCGCTGCACACCACACACACACACACACACACATTCACGTCAGCGCGTGTCGTTGGTCGTGTCGTGTGCGTGTTGTGTGTACCATTCACCGCGAGACTGTGCTTGGCGCCGGCGGCAGTCTGTACAATGCGCTCGCCCTGCACCGCCATCATCACATTGTTGGCATTCTTGCATACAAGAGTGTGAGTGGGAGTGGGGGGGGGGAGGACGTACGCCGATGCGGCGGATGAGCTTGGGCACGAGCTGGAAGCGGTGGTTGCCGTGGCCGAGCACGCCGTAGCTGCCCCAGCCCCACGAGTACACGCTCCCGTCGCGCGCCGTGGCCAGGTTGTGGAGATGACCGCACGACACGTGCGCGATGTGCTTCCCATCGAAGCAGCCCGACAAGCTGCGCGGCGTCGCGCAGATCATCGCTGCCGACTTCTCCGCTCTCTGACCTGCATTCACTCAATTTAATTAGTCACCCACTTGTTTGCATGCCGTGTCGCGTCGCGTGTGCGGTGGTGCGTGTCGCGTCGTGTGCGTGTGCGTGTCGTGTCGTGAGTAATGAGCGTACCGGTGGCCCAATCTTCGTAGGCGTTGGTACCGCCCTGCTGACCGTACTCAGCGCTGCCCCAGGTCCACACGGTGCCGCTCACGCCCAGGGCGAGGGTGTGGTGCGAGCCGCACGCGATCTGCACGATGCGCTCGCCCGCGGACTCGACGCCCTCTTCGGCGGGCACCAGGGCTTCGACCCGCCGCGGGAAGCGCTCGTCGGACGACACCCCGTGGCCCAGCTGCCCGAACACGCCCAGCCCAAACGTATACACCTGCGTACATCGACGTACAATGTAAGTCGTGTGTGTGCGGTGTGTGGTGTGTGGTGTGTGGTATGTGGTGTGTGGTATGTGGTGTGTGGTGTGTGGTGTGTGGTGTGTGGTGTGTGGTGTGTGGTGTGTGGTGTGTGGTGTGTGGTGTGTGGTGTGTGGTGTGTGGTGTGTGGTGTGTGGTGGTGTTGTGCACGGTGGGGAGCACGTACATGGCCGGCGGCCGAGAGGAGTACGCTGTGCTGCTGCCCGCAGGTGGCGCTGACGATGTGTACGCCCTGCAGATGAGGCACCAGTTGCGGCACACCTGAGCGAGGTGGTGCACACACGAGCAAACACACACAGGTCAGTTCGGCCGCTCGCCTCGCGCACACACCAGGCGCGTCGACGTACTCTGGTTGTAGCGATGGCCGAGGCCCAGCTGGCACTTCTCGTTGAAGCCCCACGAGTAGACCTCGCCCTGCGACGTGACCGCCAGCGAGAACGAGTAGCCGGCCGCCACCTCGACCACCTTGACGTGCTGGAGGCCGGTGACCACTTCGGGGCTGGGCTGCGTGTAGGGCGTGAACGACCCGAAGTTCTGCACGCGCGACAACTCCTCCAACTCCTCACCCGTAGCACCCGCTGCACCCCACCGCACACGCACACACACCACAACGCCACAGATGTAAGACGCCATGGTGAAGATGGCAATGCTGTTAACGAAGAAGAAGAGGAAGAAGAACGCACCGGCGTAGTAGGTGCTGTGGGAGCGGCCGACCATGCGCTTCATGCGGTCGGAGTTGAGGCCGGAGAGGCCGATGGCCATGCCGAAGTACTCCTTGTTGGCGGAGCCTTCGACGTGCTTGTGGAGCATGCCCCACTGGTAGAGCTTGCCGCCCACGGTGACGGCCAGGCAGTGGTTGTAGCCGCACACGCCGGCCACCACGCGCTCGTGCCGCAGGCCCTCCACCCGCACGGGCTTGAGCGCGTTGGCGGCCTTGCGCTCGCCGTTGCCCAGCTGGCCCTCCTTGGCCCGGCCCCACACGTACACGTCGCCCGTCTCGCCCACCGCCATCGAGTGCTGCTCCCCGCACGCCACGCTACGGATCCGCTTGCCCCTGCATATGCGTGTGTCGTGTCGTGTCGGCTAAAGTGAGAAAAATTGCGCGCTACACGCGAGTAGCGGATGTGTGCCATGTGAGGCGAGGATGGTGGATGGTGGCGGAGGACGGAAGACCTGAAGCGCTCGAGGAGGATGGGCTCGAGGGCTTCCTTGTTGTCGCGGCCGGCGCCCAGTTCGCCCACCTTGCCAGTGCCCCTGCAGCCACACACGCGCCACGCAACGCAACTCAACGTCAGCCCCCCCTTGGCACCACTCCCCATTCGCGTGTGTGTGCGTGGAAGAGGTGCAAAGGGGAGGGAGCACGCACCAACTCAATACGGACATGCTGCGTGTGTTGGTTTTGTGTTTAGCTTGCTCGGTCGGTGTAGATGAGAGTGGCTACCACTGCAGCTAGCTCTTTCAAACAAATCACGAATCGGAAAAGATGCGAGGCGGTTGTGTGTGGTGCGGCGAAGAGGTGCGGCGCCAGCAAGTGATGACGGCGCGATTTGGCGGTGGTCTCCGGGGGCCGGAAACTAGGGTCGGACGATGATGGTGGTGATGATGGCTGACAGGCCACAACGCAATGCAGCGCGGTGCTCTCGGTTCGTGGGGGAATGAGGAAATGGTGGCTCGGCCGAGCGCCCGGCATTCACGTCCGCTGTAGCTCCACCCGCCCCGGCGTTCCGCTTCCGCGGTTAGCGTAAGAGACCCTTCCACTACAATTTTAAGTTAACAGACGGACACGCCCGCAGTAGGACCCCACCGCACGCCTACTGCGCTCCTCAGCCCGCGCAGGAGACGCTTCCTCGCCTCTCCTGCACTTCTTCTGCTTCGGCGAAAGGGAGAATCTTCCGAGAGAAACTCGCTGAAAAAACAATTTCCCCTTTTTTCTTTAAGACGTCGGTGTTTGTCTGCGCGTTTGTCTGCGTCGTATTCGTGGCGGCCAACGTGCAAGATAAGACCTACTGGTGCTACCACCGTTTGAACATCCACCTTGCTCTTGCTTGTCTCTCTCAAGACTGTACCACCAGCTGAATTGCAGCAGTGGTTAACAAAAGAACAAAAAGAGGGGACAACATGTGCATGCCCACAAGCTTGTCGTTGTTACAACAAACAAAAGACTGCACAGAGCTTCTAAAGAGACTAGAAGCGAAGGGTGATGGCGGCCACACCCTGGGCGGGCAGGTAGAACGAATCAAACGTGATCGCCTGTTCCGAAAGAGAGAGAGAGAGAGAGAGTTCACCATCAGGCCAACAGATTGATGAAGAAGTTTGTTTGTTGGGGGAGGGGGGGCAAACGTACCGAGGAGTTGCGGGTGTAGCTGATCTTCTCCTGCTGGAGCTCGCTCTCTCGACGGAGGAGGTGGACCAGCTCGCGATCGAGGTACGCGGGGCTGCCCACCGCCTTCCACGCCGCCGCCGCATTGCAGTGGGTGTCGTCGATGCGCTCCAGCGTACCGTAGCCGTTAGCCGACAAGGGCAGCTGCGCAGAACGAAGAAGAAGAAGAACTGATGAGCTCACAAAACTCTTCATGGCGACGAAGGGGGCGATTGTGGTTTGGGGGAGAGCGTACGCCGCTGACGGTGATGGTGACGGTCTCGGTCTTGATGGGGTTGTTGGGAATGTTGTGGTTGTAGGCGATGATGATCACCTCCTTCTTCTCCTGGTTGAGGATGGCGAAGGTGCCCACCGTCGGGTGGTCGGGACCCGAAACAGCCATGCGCTCCCTGCCCGTGCGGTGCAGAATCTCGAACGCCCTACACACGCGCACACACGCGCCGACGTGGTGAGAATGATGGGCCGTGGCAATCGGGCGAGGGTGCGAGATGTTACCTGTAGGCGGGCTTGGGGACCTGGTGGATGGTCATCAGGCCGAATCCCTGGTGGAAGGGGAGCGAGTCGAAACCGCCCTCCTCGAAGATGTCGGAGAAAGTCTGCAGATGTCGTTGTGTTGAACATTAACGCAAAGACAACAATAAAAATAAACAACAGATTAATCTGTAGATGATTCTACAAGATGCAAAAGATGGATTTGAGAGGGGGTGCTTACCCAGTAGGACATGAACTCGACGATGTCCTGGACCTCCTGCACGTTGTACATGACGAATGCCGAGGCGTAGGGGTCATCGTGCTTGCCGGGGTAGAAGAGGCCGCTGTTGTACTCGGAGTAGATCACGGGGAAGGGGCTGGCCTCCTCCCTCGCCTTGGTGAACACCTTCTTCATGATGTCGCGCTGGAGCGGCTGCACGTCGGTCGGGTACTCGTGCGTCGAGATGAAATCGAGCGGCACTGCACATCCCCCATCACTCAGTATCGTGTCGTGTGCCGTGCGCTGTATGTCGTGTGCGGGCGGCGCGTACGGTTGTTGGCCAGGACGAAGGACTTGAAGGCGGGGATCCACTGGCTCTGGGCGGTGGCGGGGCCGCCGACACGGAGGCGCGAGTCGATCTGCTTGATGGCGCGCGAGGTGTAGCTGTAGAGCTTGAAGTAGTCGGCCTGAGTGCCGGTCCAGAAGTCCAGGTTGGGCTCGTTCCACACCTCAAAGTACCACGACCTCACCTGCGACACGCACACACGCACGACGCACGGGCCGGCTTAGAACTCGGAGCAGTGTGGAATGCCCGATAGAGGAACATACCTCATCAATGCCGTAGCGCTCGATGGTGTGACGGATGTGGGCAGTCACCAGGTCGGTCCACTTCTCGTAGTCCTGTGATCAGATCACCCAATCACGAGACACCGACGATTGGTTGGCCAACCACAACCAGATCAAAGTTTACGTCGACGCTGAGAGAAAGTGCCCCCGGGGTGGGTACCTTGGGCGGCGAGGTGTTGCCCTTGTAGTGGAACACGTACGTCGAGTTGGACGCCAGCGCCTCCGGCATGAAGCTGTGTGCGCGATAATCCACGCAACACGTGTGGTAGTCGCGTCAGTCAAAGTTGCGTTTGATCTTTTGAGAAGAAGGCCTTGGTCATTGAATTGAAATGGCCATACCTGAGCTCGACGTAGGGCTTCATCCCGATGGAGAGGAGGAAGTCGTAGATGGAGTCCAGGTTGAAGAACGAGTAGGTCTGCTTTCCGCTGGCATCGACCGACAGCAGCGTCGAAAGGTCGTCATCATAAATGCCATGGAACCTCTATGGACCCGCACACAGAGAGAGAGAGGGGCGTAAGTGTCGGTGTAACCCCCCAGCGCGTGACCCTTCGCAAATCCGAATTATAGTCGACACCGCGCCATTAAATGTTGCACAACACGCTGTTGGCCTCGAGGTGGTGGCACGCACCACAAACTTGACGCCGAGGTCGCGGCGGGCCATCTCGAGGTGGGCGCGGTAGTCCTCGCGGAGGGCAAGCAGGGCGTGGCCCGAACCCACGCACTCCTTCCAGTAGTGCTTCCACTGAATCGTGGGCTGTACAGTTCAACCACCCCGACATGGCGCGGAGTATTTAGTTTACGGAAGCTTTGAGGCCGTAATAAAATTGCTCCAGTGGCAAGCTTTTGTTATTTTGATTCGGGGGGGACAAGGTGGTACCTTGTTGGCATCAACAACAAAGTTGAGGGAGCCGGCGGCGTCGACGGACTCGAACGAGCGGGTCGACGGGGCGGAAAGAGCGGCGGCGACAGCCAGCAGGACGAAGGCCAGGCTCACCAGTGTCATCAGCGAAATGCGACGCATGTTGAGGGAATACTTCTACTTCAACAAACGCTCACCTGAGAACGGAGTGAGGTTGTTGTGCTTGTGAAGCCGGACAAGAAGAAAGCCCGCCAACGTGAAAATGATACTGCCTCTTCTGCCACCGATCGTCCACCGCGATTGGTCCCGGCAAACCCACAAAATCCTGATATTGGCAGGATCGAGAAAAGCACACAAGAAGCCAAGAAAAACAAGGGTTTTCTCTGGACAATCAAAATCAGCAGATAGAAAAAATCGAACGATTCAGAATGCAGAGGAGAGGCACCATGCTCGCGGCCGCTTCGTGGGGAAGGGGTGGCAGTGCGCTCCCTTCCGGCCGCCTTGCCTTCTTGGCTTCCTCTTTCCGCCGTAACGCCCCCCTGCCTTTCAATTTTGCGCCTTTTAATCTCCGTTGCTTTCCCAATTCATCTTGGTTGAGCTGCTCTCATCTTGCCGGCGACACTCTGACCGTGTGCCCTTTTCCCGTGCGACTTGGTGCCAGGGCCACTCACCACCTCGACCGACGTGAGTTTTGAGAACGTGAGCCTGCACTCGGCGCTACTCCAAGTGGCACAGGTCAAGGGCCTCACCGCCTCAGCTCTCGAGTCGTGGAACCGAGCAAGCCGGCTGGTCCTCGAGCCCGCTGGCCTCAACACGGTGGGCGACCTGCTGTCGCTCCCCGCCCAGGACGTCGACGAGGACCTCCTCACCAACAACGACTCGGCCGCGCAGCGCGCCAAGCACCTGCGCGAGCTGGCCCTGCCCAAGGGCGTGCTGCGCGCACTCGTCCACATGCGCTCGGGCCACCACGACGAGGCCCTGCGTGGTCTCGCCACCGCCCTGGCCAAGCGCCAGCCGCCCGTCTCCCCTTTCGCGGAGGCCGAGGAGACGCCCGCCGAAACGTCGGAAGACGAGACAAGCCCCCAAGCTGCGCAATAAATATTACCAAACGAAATTTACAAAAACCAGAACTATTTGCAAACAACGTTTCGATTCTGTGAACTTAGGGGCCAAACAAACTGGCGCAGCTTCGAAGTGGTTTCTTTCTTTCTCTTTCTTCGGTATCGTATCCATCACCATGTCCGACTCGCTCACTCTCAAGGGTGTCCTCCGGGGCCACAGCGGCTGGGTTAACTCCATTGCCACCACCACCGAGAACAATGACATGATCCTGTCCGCCTCCAGGGGTACATCTCTCCACCTGCTTTCCGCTGCTCCATTCTTGCGATTCGCGATAGTAAACGCCATCAAATTCGACCCTTCTAATTTGTCATTGCTTGCTGCTTGCAGACAAGACCCTGCTCGTGTGGAACCTCACCCGCGATGAGGACAACTACGGTCAGCCCAAGAGGGCCCTCAAGGGTCACTCCCACTTCGTCAATGACGTCGTCATCTCGTCGGACGGCCAGTTCGCCCTCTCCGCTTCGTGGGGTATGTACCATCACCAGATTTCTACTTTTGTCCACCATTTTTTAATCCCCAATCGAATTTGCGGGCAATTTTCTCATGATGAATTTTTCTACGCGTCTTCAGATAACACCCTCCGCCTGTGGGACCTGAACGCCGGCACCACCACCCGCCGCTTCGTGGGCCACAGCAAGGACGTCCTGTCCGTCGCCTTCTCGGCCGACAACAGGCAGATCGTGTCGGGCTCGCGCGACAGGAGCATCAAGCTGTGGAACACCCTGGGTGAGTGCAAGTACACCATCGATGGTGAGGGTGCGCACACCGAGTGGGTCAGCTGCGTGAGGTTCTCGCCCAACGCTGCCAACCCCGTCATCGTGTCGTCCGGCTGGGACAAGCTGGTCAAGGTGTGGAACCTCCACAACTGCCGCCTGAGGACCAACCTCCGCGGCCACACCGGCTACGTCAACACCGTGACCGTCTCCCCCGACGGCTCGCTCTGCGCCTCTGGCGGCAAGGACGGCACTGCCATGCTCTGGGACCTGAACGAGGGCAAGCACCTGTCCTCGCTCGAGGGTGGTGAGATCATCCACTCGCTCGTCTTCTCGCCCAACCGCTACTGGCTCTGCGCTGCCACCACCACTGGCATCCGCATCTGGGATCTCGAGAGCAAGAGCGTCGTCGCCGAGCTCAACAAGAACAACTGCGCCGGCTTCTTCGGTGATGACGACACCCCCAAGGACAAGAACCCCACCCCCATCTCCCTCGCCTGGTCCGCCGATGGCTCCACCCTCTTCGCCGGCTACACCGACAGCGTCATCCGTGTCTTCGAGACCTCGCTGTAAAGTGGTTCTGTTGGTCTACCACCTCCTAGTCTATGCCCCCTCTCAAATAGACACGTCCTACACACACTCTCTCTTGATCTGGTCCACCCCAATCTCAATCTTCCAACGTTCTTTTTGAAGGATGATTTGAGTAGAACGAAGATGTGGTGGCGCTGCACATCAAGATTGGTGCGGGTGGCCGAAGAGGTCGAGCAGGCGTTCGGCGGCGATACCTACAGGCAAGGTGCCGCGGGCCACCTCGCGCTCGAGCGAGCCCAGCTGTTGCTGCACGTTGGGGTCCTGCTTGAACCGGTCCACGAGCTCGTCGGCGATGAGCCGCCACAGCCACTGCCGCTTCTGCTCCTCCCTGCGCCGCCACAGCTCGCCCGTCTCCTGGTCACCGCACACACCACACGCGCAACCCTCATCAGCACGCCGCCCCCGAGCAGATGTGTGTGTGTGGCGGCGACCCACGCCTCTCCGACTCGCACCATCATGGTCTTCCGGTACTCCTCGAAGGTGGCAATGACGTCATCCACGCCCTTCCCCGTGGCCGCCGAGCAGGCCATCACCTGAGGCGGGCGGGGGAAGATGGCAGGTGAGGATTGGGCGCACACGAAGTTCCTTGCGTGTCGTGTGTGTCGTGGGTGGCGAGGAGCACCCTGGGCATCCAGTCGAACGACTTGGGGTGGATGAGCTTGAGGGCGCTCTGGTACTCGAACTGCGTCTTGCGGGCGGCGTCGGCCAAGTCGCCGTCGGCCTTGTTCACCACGATGAGGTCGGCCAACTCCATCACGCCCTTCTTGATCCCCTGGAGCTCGTCGCCGCCACCGGGCGACACCTGGTCGCACAGCACAACACAGCACACAAGCAGGCGAGGCCTTGTCACACGCGACACACACACACGCACACACGCACACGGCGCACAGACTGAGACGGGGGACAATGACGTACGAGAAGGAGGAACATGTCGACCATGGCCTCCACCGCCGTTTCCGATTGGCCGACGCCCACCGTCTCCACGATGATCGTGTCATAGCCAGCGCCCTCGCATATGGCGATGGTCTCGCTCATGTAGCGCGTCACTCCGCCTGCCCGTCACCGCTCCCATCAATCGCGTGTCGCCACCACCATCAAACGACTGCAGTGTGTGTGTGTGTGTCGTGTCGTGTCGTGTCGTGTCGTGTCGTGTCGTGTCGTGTGTGTCGTGTTGACGGGTGGAGGGTACCCAGAGTGCCGCGCGTTGGCGAGGGTCGCACAAAGGCATCCGGATGATTGGAGAGCCGCAACATCCGCGTCTTGTCGCCCAATATGCTCCCTCCTGTTCGCGCCGACGACGGGTCCACCGCCTGACCGGAAGGAGCACCACACGCGCGTGAGATTTCGCCCAGTGGCACGCGCCATGGCACGCAGGGAAACGTACGAGGACAGCCAATTGGTGCTCTCGCTCTACCAGCCGCATACCGAGCGCTTCGATAAACGTCGACTGTCGCACACACACACACACACCACGCACACGCACACGCACACACACAATCGCACACGCACACATCGTTAGCGAGTGGACAGGAAAAGAGAGGCGAGAGGCCCACCTTGCCCACGCCCGGCGGGCCGGAGATGCCGACGCGGAAGGTCGAAGTCGTCGGGTGGCGCGACAGACACGATGACGAAGAGGTGGGCGCGGCGGTGGCGGCGGCCAGGCGGGCGAGGAGGGCCTCAGCCGTGCGGCGGTCGCGGTGCCGGGACGACTCAACCAGCGTCACGGCCTGCGCCACCGCTCGCCGCTCGCCGCGCATGACGCGCCCCGCCAGCGCTGACACCCGCTCTTCCTCTTCTGCCAACCACCGTACAATTATTATATATTTTATAGGCTCATTTTATTCACAAAGTTAATTTTTAAATGGCAATAAATGAATTATACTGCAATTAAAAATGTGAGATGTACCGCTGTTGGTGGTGTAGGGCCGACGTAGCGGATTGGCGAGACCCGGCAGCAAAAGGCCTGCTGGGCGAAGGCACATCTGCTGTGGCAGCTTGCAGCCAGTACCGACACGTGAGGGCAGGACTGCCCACTGGCTGCCACGGCACCTCCACGCTCCTGCCGACGTCGCTCGCATCTTCCTTCGCTCTGTTTTTTTTGCTTTTAATTTTTTTCTTTCACTTTTTTTTGCTTTATTGCAATCGTTTCCAATTGATTTCGGTAAAGAAAACTACAAATATGAAAAGAATGCTGCGATAATAACCCCTTCTCTGAAGTCGTCGCACCTTCTTTCATCTATCATTCTCTCATTGGAATTGATCAAGAGAGCTCATTATTTTTTTTAAAGGAATGGACGCACGTAGAACCGAACATAGGGAGGACTTGCGTCTCGCCCCCGATGACCTCGGGTCGGACCAGGATTCTTCGTCCGCCCCCGCCCCCTCAACCACCACACCGACACCGACCACGCCCACCAGCCCCGCCCCCGCCTCCTCTTCGTCGACGTCCGGTCGAGGCACCCCAACACGGACCACGACGCCCTCGAGCCCTCGCATCGACCCCGCGCCGGCGCCCAACTTGGCTCGAGGCGCTGCTGGGGCGGCGTCGTCGTCGACGTCGGCCTCGGCGGCGGGCGGCGGGGCCGCGGGGGCCGGCCTCCATTCGGGCCCGCCCGAGGTCCAGCCCCACGAGATAAAGTGTTTCGAGAAGGTCGGGGGCGGCTGCTTCGGCGAAGTCTTTCGGTACGCACACGACACACGACACGACACGACACGACACACATGACACACGACATGACACACGGCGAGGCCTCTTTTGTTGAATTGGGGGATTGGCGCAGGGGCAAGTGCCGAGGGATCGAGGTGGCGGTGAAGCGGCTGTACCGGACGGACCTCGACGAAAAGACGCTCTCCGACTTCAAGAAGGAGATCGAGATCATGAGCAAGCTCAACCACCCCAACGTCGTCCTCTTCATGGGCACGCCGCTCCCTTTCTTCCTCTTCTCCCTGGCGCATCGCTAACAGTCATATCGTGTGTGCGTGTGTCGTGTGTCGTGTGTGTCGTGTGTGTCGTGTGTGCGGTGGTGCGTCGTACGCAGGGGCGTGCACGACTCCCGGACACATGGCGATCGTGACCGAGCTGATGCCCAAGGGCAACCTGGCCCAGGTGCGCGCTCTCTTCGTTCTTCTCTTTGTTGGCGGCGGCGGGATCTACCTCCAAATCTCTGCCGCAACAGGCTCTTGGGAGCGATGGGGCGCCTGACTGCTCACACACACACATACACACACACAACACACGTGTATCGCGTGTCGCGCATTGTTGTTTGCAACCCACGCGCGCGCAGCTGCTGCACAACCAAAAGGTGGAGCTGCCCCTCTCGATGCGCATGCGCATGGCCAAGGACGCCGCCCTCGGCATGGTATGTACCATTGCGCCCCTCCCAACATTGACCGTCATTGCTTCCCTCGCCCACAGCGAGCACCAGTACTGACTGCGTCGGCCTTTCTTATGCCGCCCACAGAACTGGCTGCACGAGAGCAACCCGAGCATCCTGCACCGCGACATGAAGCCACAGAACTTGCTCGTACGCTCCCTCACCACACATGCCACTATTATTTATTATTATTATTATGTATTTTTCTTTTACTTTACGTTCAATTTGTTTTGTTAGTTTTATTTATTTATTACTGAATTGTTGGAATGTGCTGCAGATCGACAAGGACATGCGGGTCAAGGTGTGCGACTTTGGGCTGAGCGTGGTGAAGCCGCGCGGAGAGGTGCTGCGCGACAAGGACTCCATTCCCGGCACCCCCCTCTGGATGAGCCCCGAGGTGCTCCAGGGCAAGGACGTCGACGAAAAGGCCGACGTCTACTCCTACGGCCTCGTGCTCTGGGTAAAGCCGCAATCGCACACGCATACGCGCACGAACACGAACATACGATCGCACGCGCACACGCACCACCGCACGCGCACACTGATGATGTTTGTGTGGTGTACGATGGTTGTAGGAAATCCTGTCGCGGGTGGAGCCGTTCCTGCACCACGACAACTACGCCATGTTCAAGCGGTCGGTGTGCTTCAAGAACGAGCGCCCGCCGATGCCGGAGAACTGCCTGCCCTCCCTGCGGTACCTCATCGAGGCCTGCTGGCAGAAGGAGCCCACCAAGCGACCCTCCTTCGCCCAGATCATCCCCATGCTCGACATCGGTACGCACACACATCGCACACACATCGTGCACATCGCACACATCGCACACGCACGCACCGGCTACAACTCAAACGTGTTGCGTGCAGTGGTGGTGGATGCGACGGTGGAGGACGAGGCCGGAAGGGACCTGTGGAAGAAAAACTTCCTCGGCAAGGACGAGATCAGCTGGTACCCCCCCTTGCGCCACTGGGCGAATAGAAAATTGAATTTATAGAAGTTGTGTGATTGGGTCGATAGAAGCGAACTGACGGTGATGGGTTGTTGCAGGGACAAGTTCCTGGCGGCGCTGATGCGGGCGCTGAGCCTGCCGGCGGCGGATCCGGAGGACATCCAGGTGCGCTGCCTCAAGGCCGTTCTCGGCGAGAAGTCCAAGGACCCCACCCTCCACGATCAGGTACTCTTAGCCCCCCCTTCCCACTTTTCGGTTCTCTTTGAGTGCCTCGTCTGTTCTGTTCCTGACACGACGCACACGACACGACACAACGCACACGACACGGCACACACAGTGGATCGTGACGCTGGACAGGTTCGGCAAGGTGTGCGACCTGTTCGGTCCGGTGCTGGCGGCCCCGCCCAAGCGCAGCAGCAACATTCTTCAGAACGTGCACGACGTGCTTCGCAACGATTGGTTCCACGGCGAGATCTCTCGCGAGGAGGCCGAATCCAGACTCACCGGCGTCGTGCCCGGCACCTACCTCGTACGCCACCGCCATCCACCACACGCGACACGATACGACCAACGACACGACACGACCAACGACACGACACACTCTGCCTGACGATATCTTGATGTGGTGCGCGCAGGTGCGGTTGTCAACGACGTCGGGCAACTGCTTCACGATCTCGAAGATGTCCAAGTCGGGCAAGATCAACCACCAGCGCATCAAGTACTCGCACGCCGATGGGTTCTCGATCACGGTGCAGTCGCCCAAGGGCGGCAAGGGCGGCCAGACGGTCACCTCGCAGGGCTCCCTCTCGCTGGAGCGCTTCATCGCAAAGATCGCCAACGACCTCTACCTCAAGCGGCCTTCGCCCGGCCCCTTCCGCTCCCTCTTCGTCAAGAACACGGCCCTCGACGGCTACCTCTTCAACGAGGAGGACGCCGGCGACTACAACGACGACGACAGCTCATCGGAGTGAGAGGAGTGGTGCCGGAACACGTAAGTGGTGTTTGTTTTAGACGTTATTTTTGTAATCCAATAATTATGAGTAATTCATTCGTGGAATTTGGCAACAACTTTTTGGCGGGAAGAGACGGTGTTGGCGAGCGCGCCAAAAAACGACGTCAAGGCCCGAAGACGGTTTTTTGTTCGTTGGCACCAAGTCTACGCCCACGCCTTCATCTATTTGTTTCCATTCAGCTCGCTGAGTACCATCAACCTCGTCCTTCTTCTCCTCTTTCTGGTGGTGCATCTGCTGCGTTGTTTGGAACTACGCATCACATTCGCCACAGTGCTAGATTGCCCCATCGATCAATTTTGGACATTGAGACCTCGACCAGGTGGCAATGATCTCCAACGGTAACAATCAGAACAGAATGGATGAAGGCCTGCCTCTTCCTCTCCTTCTCAGCCCTGCCCCTGCGCGTCACTCTTGGTCTTCATCTTCCACGTCATCTGCTTCGCCCATTTCGATGGCTGCATCATTGGCGCGGCACAACTCGCCACGAAAACGGCTGTTTCACGAGGGACCCGCCTCATCGTCTCCCCCGCCTTCGCCCGTGCCCATCGAGAAATCGCCCTTCCGCCGATCCCTATTTGGCGGCGTAGTGCGAGGTGGCCATCATTTCGATCACGATGGCACCTGGCCCGCACGACAAATTAATGGGCGCAGCTGGAGTGCTGGAGGACCACCCGCCAAGCGTCTTCGCCTCGACATCGACGATCCCGATGCTTTCCTTCCTCCGCGGCCACTTCGCCTTGGTACACCCCCAAATCCCAAAGCACTGCATCTCTTCAGGTTTGTGGCTCGACACGAAGTGCTCACTGTTTTCTGCGTACACACAGGCCGCGAGGCCGGCGGAGAGAAAGGCGGCGTGGCGTCGATGCTGCTGGAGCGGGCCAAGCCGGACCTCTTCTCGGAGGACTGCGACGCTGCGGCACCGGGCAGCTCCGCCCCGCCCGATGCCCTGGCCGCGCTCGACCAAGTTGACGACGATCGGTACCACAAGAGCCCTTCTCCGCAGCTTTTGTGTTCTCCATGTCGTGTGCGTGCTCTCCTCGCTCACAATGGTTATGTGTGCGTGCGTCGTGGTGAATGTGTGTGTTGTGTTTGTGTTTATGTTCTGTTCGCACAGATGTACCCCGGAGGAGCCACCAGCTATCTCCGTCACTCCGGCCACGCCGCACGGAGAGCACGGAGCAGCTGTGGACTGCGCTGTGACCCCCGTGCTGCCCTCCGCGCACCTCACTCCGCCCAGCAGCCCGCAGCCGTTCTCGCGCCACCTCCACTCCACTCCCCACGGCCACCACGCCTCCAACCTCATCCACCTCGCCACCCCCTCCCGCACCTGCAACGTACGCTGCTCTCACACCCACCTCGCTCGCTCGCCTGCTTGACGTTCTTTCTCCCTCAATGCGCTCACCTCACACGCTCGCCTCATGCCACCAGGTGAATCCATTTTCCCCGGAGCGAGCGCTGCCCCGCCATGTCCCGTCAAGCCCCATGCCCAGTCCATGCCCTTCTCCCGTTCGCGGCGGTACGCAGGCCTTGCTACTCCCTCTTTTCCTCAAGGGAGGTGCTGACGTCATCTTTCGGTTCTGTTTCTGCTTTCTGTGCGCAGCGCCACCAAGTCCGGCGGGCTCGCGCTACCTCGAAGATTTTGAGGAGATCGAGAAGATCGGGACGGGCTCGTTCTCGGAGGTGTTCAAGGCCCGCAATCGCGTGGACGGCTGGCTCTACGCCGTGAAGCAGGCTAAGCGGGCCTTCAGCAGTCCGGCCGACATGCACAACACCCTCAAGGAGGTCTACGCGCTGGCGGCGCTCGGCTCGCACCCACACGTGGTGCGATACTACTCAGCCTGGGTCGAGGACCGACTCTACATCCAAACAGGTAAACGCAACGCAACGCACCACCACACCACGTCGGTTGATGATGATGGTGATGGTGCTATGATGATGATGATGATGGGTCAGCTGACATTCTCATTTAACAACAGAGTACTGCAGCGGCGGCTCGCTGGCGGACCATTTGAAGAAGGGGGTGCGCTTCACTGAGGCACAGCTGATCGACGTCCTGCGGCAGGTGGCCCAGGGCCTCAGCCACATCCACAGGAAGGGCCTGGCGCATCTCGACGTCAAGCCCGAGAACATCTACGTCGACCTCCAGGTACTGTGTGTGTGTGTGTGTGTCGTTTCTTTATATTGTACCCATGCTTAATCCACCATCAACTCACAGGACGACGGGGTGACACCGCTGTACAAAATCGGGGACCTGGGACTCATATCGCTGGCCGACGCGACGGACTTCTCGGAAGGCGACTCGCGATACATATCGCGCGACCTCTTCGCGTCGGATGTCGACTGTCGTAAGCTCACCAAGGCGGACATCTTCTCGCTCGGCTGTTCGGTCTACGAGCTGGCCCTCGGGCGGGCGCTTCCCTCGCGCGGCGAAGAATGGAACGCCATCCGAGAAGGCGAGATCCAGCTCTCCTCCGACTTTACCCGAGGATTCGAAAACCTCCTCAAGGTACACGACACGCACCACGACACACACGACACGACACACGGTACGTCTCATTCTATATATTCCATTGTGCGTGATGTCGCGTAGTCGATGTTGGCAGCGGACGCGGACAAGCGACCATCGGCCGACGAGCTGCTGCAGGCGCCGGCGATGTGTTCGGAGGAGATGAAGTGGGACATAGAGCACAAAAAGCGCGTGGAGCTCGAGGAGCAGGTGCGCGCGCTGCAGGCCGAGCTGAGCTGGCGCCGGGACGTCATGAACTCGTCGGGCTGGCGCGCGTGCGAGAGCCTGGTGCCCCTCGTGGCCAAGCTCGAGGGCTACATGAGCTTCCTCGCCCCACCCTCGCCCATCTCTGCCGATTCCTCCCCTCGCCCTTGCCTCTGATCGAAGCTGCCCCCTGTAAATATTTCTTCTTCTTCTTCTGGCAACACCTTCATCACTCACCCAGAGCGTGCTTCAATAGGCTTCGGTAATCTCTCCGTTCTATTCCCCTATTTGTTTTCTTGCCTTCAGTGAAACAGTCCCTGTCATGTGCTTGTTTTGGACTGTCAGACGGGAGGGAGATAGAGAGATAGAGAGAGAGTCGATGATGAAGGAAGAAGGACAGACAGCCCACAGCCTCGGTACGCGGAGCACACTGGCTGGCCCCTTTTGTAGTGGTTGGAGCTGCAGAAATTGAGTGGTTTGGTGGTGGTGGGGGGGCAGAGTGGTGGGTGAGGCAGGCGCTCACGGGAGGGCAGGTGGGCAGCCACCAGGTGGCCCACGCCTACTTGACCCTCCAGCTCGCCCAGGACGACCGCATCATCGGAGGTAGCGCCGAGAGCCTGGGCCGCCTCATCGTGACTGCCCTCCACCATCACTACCATCACAACCACAACGATGATGAGGAGAAGGAGAAGGAGGAAGAAGCAATGCTGAACGATCGTCTGGAGGAAGACGAGATGGTAGGAGCGCTGGCGCGCTTGCTCCGCTTCTGCTCCTTTGCGGCAGAGGACAGTAGCGAAGGAGTGCTGCCAGCTGTCTGTGCACTTCTCGTACTTCTCGCATTACCACGACTCGCACGCACGCACGCACGCACGCACGCGCACGCCCGCCCGCCCGCCCGCCCGCCAGCCCGCACGCACGCACGCACGCAGCTTACGGTGGATACATACAGACCAGCCGGCGGGCTGTGGCGGAGGTGAAGGTGGCCCTGCTGGAGAAGTTCCCGGCCAGCGTGCACCTGGGCGACGTCCCCACGGCGCTCCTACTCGCGCCCGAAACCGACCACAAGACGCGCGCGTGCGCGGCCCTCCGCCTCCACCTCGAACTCCTGTACGACAATTCGAGCCTCGCACTGGTTGCTGCGGCAAACTTATGGTGTGCGTTGTTCGCGTATGCGTGTGTCGTGCATGTGTGTGTGTGTGTGTGTGGTGGGCAGCCACGGCCTGGAGGAGGAGCGTGACCGGGTTCGATTGTGCGGGCTCGTGGAGGAGATGTGGCGGGACCTTGATGCGTGCACCCGCGAAGCGGGCCTTTTGGCACGGACGGCGCTTGCGCTGCTAGCACTGGAGTACCTCGAGCAGCCGCCCGAGTCGGCCATCGAACACGCGGCCGTGGTGCTGGCCGACGAGGCGCCCATCTCCGCCGCATGGGCTGCCTTCCCAGGTACGCACTCATTGTCCACACGACACACGCCACGCACGATGCACATGACACACGCGACAATGACAGGCGGAGAGTCGATGTGGGCCATGTCTCGAATGACGACGATCGAGCAGAAGGCCCCCATCACGTCGCTGGTGGGTGTAGAGGTATTCCGCGAGCTCGCTCGACAGCAGCCGGAGCTGTCGGCCGCCCTGGCCTGGGCCGGACCCATCAGCGTCGCCCACAGCCAGCCGCATCCAGCAGCCACCAGGCGCACCCAACACAAAGAGCCCGCACTTCGCCTCCGTCGGCTCCGCTTTGCACCCAAATTCGTACGTGCCATTCTCTACACTCACCATCGCACACGCACGCACGCACACTAAGCACTTAGCTTGATGAGGGACGGTGGCTGGGGCGAGCAGGCGTTGGAAATGGCGTGTGGCAAGAGGTCCGCTGAGTGGATTCATGAGAACATCGTCACACGCCTGTTGGACCACCACCTCCCCACTGCGCACCGGCGGCTAGAAGCCCTTGATGGGCAAGCTCGACAACAACTGTCCACGCGTGTGCACACGACGCATCACGACGAGTGCGAATGCACGAGTCTAGGTTACGACCTCGCCTGCAGCATTGCGGAGCTGTTCGACCCGCTGCGGCTGCCTGACTTGTGCTTGATCACCGGCTGCGAGCTGCTCGACCCGGCGATCGCCGGTCGCCTTCGGTGGCTGGCCGAGTGCACAGAGCCGCACGTCGAGTGGCTGTGGGTGCAGCTCGAGCACTTCCAGTACTGGCACCTGGCCAAGGTGTTGCGCACGAGGGCCGACCTGCGCCAGTTCCTGGATGCACCGCCACCTCCGCGCGCCGACCTTGCAGGACTCCAGGATGAGGACTGGATCAACCTCGATGTCGATGTGGGTACGCTTGTTCTCTTCTATCATCATCGCCATTCCATAGAAGTGTGACGCTGTTCAGGGGACGCAGGCTGACGCTGCGAGCGTGGCTGGCGTGCGTGAGGTCAGGGTGGAAGCTGAAGGAGTGGATTGGGGCGCTGGCGTCGCCCTCCTCCTGGCCGGGCTACGTCGCGTTGCATGAGTTGCGGCAGACCATCTTCCACCCAAGTTGCGTCCTCCACCACCATTGGTCAATTCAAACTTAACTTAATTGTTCGTTCCAATCCCATCTCATCTTGGCCGTCCAAACAACAGCGGGCGTCTGCAGCGGAGCCATGCCAGCCGCCACCAAATGGGCACTCCACCTGCTCGACCAACCGAGCGTGTCTCGCAAGATCGACATCGTCGAGGTACTCCTCTTCAACCGCACCCTCTTTGTAGCGACGATCTTGGCGATCGATGACGATGGCGGTGATGGTGAACCTTGATGACTTGCCTGCTTGCAGATGCTGCTCGACGTTGTATTGTCGGAGGTGGAGAAGAGCTTGGAAGTGGGCAGTCGCCTCACCGAGGGCGATGGGGATGAAGACCACAGACACAGCTCCATCATCATCTTCTTCGATCAGGTGGTGCCCCGCCTGCTGCCCCCCTTGAACACCACTAGGCCTGTCCAGGCGCCCGGTTCCTTCGCGGAGCAGTTGTGGCGGGTCGCGGGCGCCGACCACGAGTCCCTCCGGCTCCGTATCATCACTCTTCTCGCCGTACGCTTGATTTTTGATGCGTGTGCGTGTGCGTGTGGCCGTGTGTGTGCGTGTGCGACATGGCGTCAACGTTTTCTACCTCTGGTGATGGCGGGGCAGGCCTACCCCTCCAGGTGGGAGGTGAGCATGCCACCCCTGACTCAGCTGGTCCACGACGTCGCCCAAACGATGCCTGTCCGCGCGGCGGCCCTCGCCGCCCTCTCTTTCGTCGCGCCCGTGATGTGCTCCGTGGCAGATGGGATGACGCCGCTCACCGGTCTCAGTCCCGCCGCCGACTTGGACCCTCGCCTGGGCTCGTCGTACTGGCCCGAGCCCGCGCGTCAGCTCGTCGCGCTCCTACACTCATTCCTGCCTACGCCCGCTGGTACGGCCGCTCCGTTCGCTATGGTGGTGGTGATGGTGATGGTGGTGATGACGGTTACGGTGTGAAGATGAACTATTGTCGTTGCGGGAGTTGGCGATGAGGCACCTGGTGGGCCGCCTCTCCCGTTGTTCCGATGAGCCAAGAGCGGCCGAGGAGGGAGAACTCGCTCGATTGCCGGACGAGCTGCGGCGCGAGGCGCTGCTCCGATCGGTGTCGCGCTTCAAGGTGAGATCCACCCCCTCTCGTTTACTGGGTTCTAGAATTGACTCAATGGTTTTGTGTGTCGTGTTTTGGTCGGATTGCAGAGAGTTGCAGCCCAAGGGCTCTGTCGTCTGATCTGTCGATCAGAAAGACAGCACCCTGACGCGGTACCCAAGGGGGAGCAAAGGTGGCTGCTCGCGGTGCGGGAGGTGCTGCGCGATCACACCCTGGACCTGCCGGCCCACGTGCACGACGCTAGCCGACTCGAGAAGCACAGCCTTGATATCCAGTGGCTCATACGGCCTATTGCTGATGCTGCTGCAGGCTCGGCGGAAGTTCAACCATTATTGTAAAATATCTGCGTATTTGAACAAGCGTTCAACAGCTCTGCAACATCTTGTAACCCCGGAACTTTGTAGCCACCACGATCGACTGGTCTTCGATGCCCACCAAATGACGTTCAAGGAAGAGATCACGTAGCTGGTGGGCGGGAGTAGGTCCACGCGCTCGCGCGACTGCAGTCGGAGCTGTTGGCCACCCAGGCCTGGTCTAACTCATCAGCATCGCCCACAGCAGCCCAGCCGCGTCCAGCATCCGACGAGTAGGTCCCGGCTGTAGGGTCGGTTGTGCACAGCCAGAAACTGGCGCAGATCTGGTAGTCTCGAAGAGCAGGTGGCGAGCTGTGCGTGTGCGGGGGTGGGCGCAGAGATTGACCAAGTACAGGTTGGACTGTCCAGGAAGGCAATACATTGCTCTCTTCGATCCGATTTTATCCCTCGGCGGCCAGTAGGCCAGGCCCTGTCACAGACATTATTTCTCCGAATGTCCGAGCGTCCTGTGCGACCTGGAACATGGCCTGGTCCTGGCTGTCGACCAGGAGTTGGTGCCTGGCTCTCTGGGTCAGCGCTGACCAGTCGGTTGGCCGGTCGTCTCCAGAACAACGGCGATTCGGCGGAGTCAGCGCCATTGGACAGCTTTCTGCCCTGGGGGTCGACGAATCTGCCGGACCGGTAGCGGTTGCCGGCCTACACCATCGGTCTGGGCGCCGACTCCCGCTTCGTCGACACCGCGGCCGACACCAACGGCGAGGTCTACAACCTGGAGGGCCTCCTCCTCTCGCTCAACCACACCATCCTCAAGGCCTCCCAGTACGACAACGACACCATGTGGACCGAGGTTATGGCCCAGGCCGACGTGCTCATGTTCCCCGAGAACGAAGAGGACTCCCCGCTGGGCACCATCACCAACACGACGCGCGACAACATCTACAACTGGGTCAAGACCGAGCGCGGCGTGGTGGTCATCTTCTACGGCGACTACGACCTCACCAACTTCCTCGCCCTGCTCGGCTCCACCTTAGGCGGCTCGGGCAACTCGCCGTGGCAGAAGACCGCCGCCGCCAACGCCTCCGAGATCTTCGGCGACGACGGGCCGGCCCAGCTGGAGGGCCTCAACGCCGCGAGCTCGTGAAGCCTCACGGCCGACGACGCGATACGGCAGCGATGACGACTGCGCTCTGTGGCAGTACGACATGGGCAACGGCCGCTACTTCGGCGTGGCGCCGGACTACTACAACGCGGCGCCCTACGGCTCGCAGGACGGGGGCTGGGTGAGCGCCCTGACCCTGGTCTTTTCGGCCGTCCCCTCTGCATCTCCGCGTGTCGCCTCCTCGGCCAGCTTCCTGGCCGCTCTGCTCTGATTGTTGCTTCTTTTCTTCTTTCTTCTTCTTTTTGTTGTACCCAATCATGAAAGAGACAGCACAGTCACGTGTGCCGGAACTTTACACCTCAACACCTTGTCTGTTTTCGAAACCCCGTACCACTCCCAGACCTCTTTACACAAGTCGTGTGGTCAATCATTGTTGATGGGAGAAATGAAGACTTTTTAGTAGTAGTGGAACTTGACGCGCAGAAGGTACTTGAGGTTGATCTGGCCCGTGTTGTACACAATGAACTAAGAGTGTGTGTTGGTGTGGAAAAACAACACCTTTGTGAGTGCATCCAATCATCTCCGTGTTTGATTGCTTTGTTTTTTGATTGGTGGAGGCGCGTACCTCGTTGTAGAGGAGGGAGGTGGGCGAGACGCCCGTGTTGGCGGGCGTGCCCAGCGGGACCAGCACCCCGTCGGGGGTCGTCACCGACTGCCGTGGGTCCGGAGCCGTCTTGCCGCAGCCCTTCGTGCTGTCGAACCCCTACGCACACGCACACGCACCACCGCACACGCACCACCGCACGACACACATCAATTGCAGGTCGACGCGGGAGGGCGATGATTGGTGGAGGGGGAGGGCGTACCTGGGGTGCCTTGTCCATGTACTCGGCCTGGGTGAGTTCGTACACGTTGCCGAGCGCGACCTCGCTCAGGAGCATGAGGCCCGTGGTCTTCTCCCGGTTGGGGTAGCAGTAGTTGGCCGACTTGCTGCTCATGTCCGCAAAATACACGCCCTTGCCAAACTGCACCAGGCGTAACCGCACGACACGACACGCATGCAACATGAGCTCAGGCGTTGGTTTCTGACCTGTGCGCGAGGGAATAGTGTCACGTGCCATGTAACCGGTAACCGGGGCTTCCGGCGGGGCGATGCGGAGGCCTTGCGATAGGATACCTGCATGTACGCAAATTGGTTTAATTACGTTGCAATGTAATTTCATTAAATAACAGAATGTCTGTGCGCAAGCGGATTGGTTGAATTGAGTTGTTGCAATGTAACTCCATGAAATAAAGAAAATTGGGCGTACCGGCGTAGTTGGTGAGGCGGGAGCCGTGCCAGAGGAGCATGCGGTTGGGCAGGTCGGAGAACGGGATGAAGTTGTCGAACTCGCCCTCGCGCTCGATGCGGAACAGATCGACCAGCTCCAGCCAATAGGCCGTGTGGGTGGGGCAGTGCGTCTGCGTCACGTACTTGGACACCATGTCCCAGTCCGACTGAATCATTCAATTTAGTTAGAGTTACAATTTAGATAGAGCGAAGGCAAAGAAAAGAGAAGGGGGGGGAATACGTCGTCGGTGTCGACAGGGACCATGTTGGTCTTGAGCTTGCGGTAGTTCTGTTCGATCGGGTCGAGCGTCTCGCCGCCGCTGCCTGCTCGATGGTCGGTCAACCCAACTGATCGCGCCACATGCGCAACCGCACACGCACGACACATAACCGCACACGCACACGCGGAGGGAGAGGGCGGGGCCGCACCATCCTTGAGGAGCGAAGCGGCGATCTCCATGTCGAGGAGGGCCTCCAGCATGTCGGTCTTCTCGCGCAGCTGCTCCTCCGTCGCGATCAACGGCGGCTGATGATTGCCATAGGCGTGCGGAATGATCCTGGTAACGGCAACCACCACGTGCATCGTGTGTCGTGAGCGCGCGTGCGTGTGTGTGTGCGTGCGTGTGTGTGTGTGTGTGTGTGTGTGTGTGTGGAGCATCTTGAGATGAGGTGAGGTGAGACGGAAGGTACGTGTAGAAGCGGTTGGCGCATTCGGTGAGGCGAGTCTTGATGGCGAGATTTGACGGATCACCCTTCTTGAGGATGCCCTGGATCTCCGTCAACACCTCGTACTACACGACCGCACACGTGCCACACATGACCAACGACACGACCAACGACATGACACGTGACACGACACACATGTCAGCAAATGGGAATGGCCTGCGTGGGGAAGTAAATGGGGAGCGTACGCCCTGCTGGATGTTGCGTTTGGAGAGCTTGCCGAGGGGCATCTTGTTGACGTCGATCTCGAGCTCGAGCAGGGTGTCCTGCATGGCCTTGATGTCGAATATCAACCCCACCAGGTCCTGTTCGAGCGTTCCCCGTGCAACCACAGCACACCAACACCACGTCAGCCCCGTGGTCGTGTCGTGTCGTATCGTGTCGTTGGTCGTGTCGTGTCGTGTCGTGTCGTGTCGGTACGCGTGCCTGGATGCGTTTGTCGAGTTTGGATTTGTTGCGGCGGAGCTCCTGAGCCTTCTGCTTGATGGCCAGCTCGTCGGTGTCGTCGCCCGAGTAGTCGATCTCGATCGGATAGAACCTGGCGATGGTTGTGATTAACGAATGGACGACAGCGCACGTATGGGACGCACACGCACACGCACAGAGAAAGAGATGCGCGTGTCGTGTGTGTTGTGTGTGTGGGTTGGGGAAAGCCGTACTTGCCGGGCTTCTTGACAAACTGATCGCGGTGCGCCCACGAATTCTCCGTCTTTTCCTGCACGACCGCACACAAGGCATTCAGCGCCCCTCTCTCCACCCATAACCAGACCACGAACCGTACACACGACACGCGACACACGCACGTGTGACCATGGCACACGACACGACACGTGCGCGCGTGCATAAGAAAAGCAAAGAGGCAGAGATGGTCGCGTGCCTCGTAGATTTTGACGAAGGCGGCCTTGGCCGAGTCGATGGAGGAGAACTTCTCCTTCTTGTCGCCTCCGATCGTCGTGCCCACGCGCCCCCACTTCCGGTAGACATACCACTGGACCCGTTCCCCCGCCACAGCACCCGCCAGCGCATCCCAGTTACGACTTCTACTCTTCGCCTTATAGTGCGCGTGTGCGGTTGCGGTGCGTGTGCGGTCGTGCGCGCGCGCGTACGGTTTTCTTGGTGTCGAGCTCGATGAGCTGCAGCGCGTAGTACGAGTTCAAGCCCGACGTGATATCTGCCGACCCCGCACGGCGCCATGTCGTGTCAGGTCAGTCGACACGCGAACAGCACACACAGGCACCACCGCATCACCGCACACGCACACGCGTGCGATGCGAGTGTACACACCGGCGAGGTTGAGCATGACGTTGTAGACGGTCCCCGAGTCGGACTGGTAGATGTGGCCATCGTCATCAAGCCCAGAGTCCGGGTGCACGGCGGACTTGCCCTTGACCTTGAACTTCTGGACGCCGCTCTCCAGCTGCTGCTTCTTCTTCTTGGCCGCCGCATCGTTGTCACTGTCGTCGTCATCATCATCGCTGTCGTCATCTCGCTTGCGCTTCTTCTCGGCGGCCTGCGGGATCTCCAGCACGGGCAGATCCACCTTCTCCCGCTCCACCGGCTTGCGCTGGTGTCGCACCACACCCACCGTCACATGTCGTCAGGTGGCGCCACCTTAATCATCACACACGCCACCTTAAGGCGGTGCGGTACCGGCTTGAACTTCCAGTTGTTGAGGTAGGTGGAGGCGTCCTTGAGGCCCGAGGGGACCTTCCACGGCAGCCGCTGCACGTCGCTGGCCGTGCCCGTGAACAGACACCGGCCCCACGCTAGCGCCGCCCAACAATTGATGTCAGCAGCGCCAACATTAAGGATTGGAGGGCGGAGTACCAGAGGCGTAGCCGGTGCATTTGTATTCAACGCCGCGCACGCACACGAGCTGGCCCTCGTCGCATGACGGACACGGCGGCAGCGCGCCGAACAGCATTCCCTCGGCGCACCGATCCAACAGCTTCGCCTCGCCTCCCTGCCCGCACACACATTGGCACCACATTACATTTTTGTCATTCCTCAAGGCCACGCACCCGCGTACACCGGCATGTGTCGTGTGTGTCGCGTGTGTCGTGTGCGTGTGTGATGCGCACCTTGGAGTCCTGCTTGTTGTGCTCGAGCATGTACTTGAGCTGGCCGACGTCGAGCGCGGCGCGGAGCTTGTCCTTGATGGCCCACAGGGCCTCGTTCTCGTCGCGCAGGGCGTCCTCCTTCTTGAGCTCCGACTTGGACTTGGCCTTGGCGCGCGGCTGGTCGGCCTCGATCTGCTTGCGCAGCTTCTCTTGGTCCTCCCACCGCACCTTGCTCGCCCCCGACACGTACCCGATGTCGATCACCTTGTACGTCGAGAAGAAGCAGTCGTAGTGGTGCCACTCCGGAATCTTGCCGTCGCTGCAGCGACATCGGCCATGGTGAGCTATGACAACACATCGTGTCGTGTGTGTTGCGTGTGTTGCGTGTGCGGTGGAACGTGTTGTTCAGCAGCGTACAATTTCTGGGATTGGACCATGCGGGCGACGCGGAGGTCGTCCATGTCTATCTTCTGGCGGCACACGCGGCAGCCGCTCCGCCCGCTCGCGGCATACTCGACACGCGCCTCGCCCACCAGCTCCCGCCCGCCCTGCTCTCCCGCCACCAACCAACCAACCAACCAACCAACCAACCAACCAACCAACCAACCAACCAACCAACCAACCAACAAAGCACACACCAGCGCCGTCAGCGATGATCAACCGCCGCCGCCACCAGAAGGGCATTACGTCGTCTTCATCTTCGTCCTCATCTTCGTCGTCTTCGTCGTCTTCTTCTTCATCTTCGGATGACGCTTTCGCGTAGGGCGTGACTGAAATAAAAGAATAAAAGAAAACAAGTTTGAGTTATGTGTGGGACGAGCGCAACGCGCAAGGAGGAGAAATGTGGCGGCGTACACGAGGAGGAAGCCGACTTCGAAGAGGCGGAAGAGGCGGTGGTCGTGGTGGCGAGAGGCGGCGCGATGGTGGCGAGCTGCATCTGCCACTGGGCCGCGGGGGAGAGGGCGGGGATGGCCACCGGCGTCGACACGCCGAACGAGGGTCCGGCCGCGGCCGCGGCGAACAGCGAGGCCTTGGCCGGCGGCGGCGCGCTGGTCGACGCCGCCGCTGCCGCTTTTGTTGTCGACCCTGTCGGCGCTGGGATTGTAGACGATGACGTGGATGCTGACGTAGTCGCGGGCGCGGTCGTGGCGGAGCCGAACGGGGCCGAGACCATGAGCGAGGAGAGGAGCGAGGCGCCGCCCAATGCGGCGGTGGCCGTGGCGGTGGGCGGTGGGAGACGGGCTGCGGGCTTGGGTCCCTCGCGCTTCACGAGCCGACGCTTGGACTCGTCGTCGAAGCGGCGCTGGAGCAGGTTGGGCAGGTCGATGAACCGCTCGCTGTCCTGCGGCGCGAATTAGTCATGTCGCACACGCACACGCACACGCATCACCGCACACGCACGAGAAAGGAATGTGTACGATGCGCACGCGGCGCTTGCCGGCGGCGAAGGCGTCTTCGATCTCGCTGGCCTTTTGGCGGTCGTACTCGACCCACGAGCTGTCGTCCTGCTGCCAGTACCACCGACCTGGTCGCCCACCATTGCCCATCATTGCCACCTTAAATAAAGCAACAATGCAACCAACACCCTCCACAACGGCGCGTAGTGGCGCGTACCCACATCGTCGTCATCATCATCGTCATCATCGTTGTCTGCTTCGGCTTCTTCCTCTTCCTCCTCTTCGGAAGAGTCGTTGTCGGTGCCTGCGGGCGGCTCCTCGCGTTTGACCTCGCGGCGCTTGGTCTCGTCGTCATAGCGGCGCTGCAGCATGTGGGTCACGTCGACGAACCGCTCGTCGTCCACCTTCACCCGCTTCTGGCCCTTCTTGTACTCGGCCTCGATCCTGCACCGCCACCACCATAGCAACCACCAATCAACCTCAAAATAACCAACGGTCGAAGGGTCCGCTTGGGCATGGCTCCGCGGGGGGGGGGTATTGCGTAGTACTTGGTGTTGAGGGCGTGGTCGTAGGCGACCCATCCGTTGTCGGACTTCCACGACCACTGCACCACCGGCGCCTTGGTCGGAGGAGGTGGTGGAGCGGCCGCTTTTGGTACGGGGGCGGGGGCGGGGGTCACCACCGCGGCTGCTGGCGCTGTAGAAACCGGGGCGGCCGCCTGCGCTGGGGGCACTGCCGCGGGTGCTGCCGGTTGGGCGGCGGGAGCAGGCGCAGAGGCGGCGTCGGGGGGGCGGCCTTCGCTTGGGTGGCATCCTTTGCAAGAGAGAAATAAAGGCAAATAAAATAAATAAAGAAAATAAACGGATGAATCAATTCGTGGAAAGGGTTTTATTGATAATAAATTAACAGCCAGACCAAGGCGTATTTTTACAGGTGTTGTGGCAAAACTGGAGGATCGAGAGGTCTCGATGGTGAGGACCCTCGGCTTAGAGTTCCTCGCCGTAGTTGGTGAGATAGATGACGACCTGGAGGCTTATGATGACGAGGTACCAGAGAATGAGGAAGGCCGAGAAGAGGAGCAGGAGCGGATGCGGGAACCAGGCCTCTCGTCGCGTTTTCCAGTAGACGCCGAGGTACATCGCGTGCACCATCTCGCCCATCGTCATGAGGAAGCAGAAGCAGAAGACGAACGCGCCGGGGTCGACCGAGGTGAAGAGGATCATAAAGAGGCACCAGTGGGAGATAATCATGAGCACGTTGAAGCCGATGTTGAAGATCTCGCGTTCGGCGATTTTCTGGAGGTTGAGCAGGGTGTAGTAGACCGCCACCATGCCGAGGAAGACCATCTGCGCCACCTTCTCGCCGAAGAAGAGGTAGGGTCGATCGAGATGTTGCTCGTAGATGGAGACTGACGCGATGCCTACGCCGATGCCGAGCCCCTTGCAGAAGATCTCGGCCCAGCTGACCGGACCCAGCTTGTCCACGCGCCACTTCTTGTCCTCGGCCAGGAGGGTGTAGTCGTCGCCGCGGCATGGCACGAACAGCTTGCTGAATCGCCATGCCTTCTCGAAGCAGGGTCGGAAGGGCTTGCAGACCACTCCATCCCATATCTTGCTCCCGCAGCCGCCCAGCTTCTCCTTCATCCTTCTCATCTTGGTCTTCTTCCTCTCGCAATGGACCCACGATTGATGTTTGGCTTGGTTGTTCTTCCTCGGAGGCTGTTTTTTGTTGTTTTATGTCGACGGATCTGGCTTGGAATGTTATGCATGAGCGTAATAATTTTTGGCGGGAAAATCCAGACAAGGAAAAGAATGATTTACACAAAATCGTGTAGCGTAGAACGAAGATGGCAGCGGAGGGAGCAGAACAAAAGAAGAACTGGAAGGACGAGGGCAACGCAGCGTTTAAGCTGGGCAAATGGGGGCTGGCAATTAAGTGCTACACGTCGGGCATTCGCGAAGATCCGAATAATCACCTCCTTTACAGCAATCGGTGTGCCGCGTGGCTCAAAATGAGCAAGGACCACAAGGCCCTCGAGGACGCCGAGAAGTGCATACAACTTCAGCCCCTCTGGGCCAAGGTGCCGCCCCGCTTGCCACGATTAATCACAATAATCGCGGCTTTGAGACTTAGGCAGGCCGGGCGCCCGGCATCAGGGTTACTACAGACGCGGCTGCGCGCTGCGAGAGCTGCTGCGCGATGATGAAGCGCTTGTGGCTCTGCGCGAGGCCGCGGAGCTTGCTCCCTCTGACGCCGAGATCCGCAACAAGCTCGCTGAGGTGCTGCAGCGAGGTACAACACCCTCACGACACGGTCGTCTTGTCTGGGTGTCTCTCGTTTCTTGCCTGCTCACGGCGTGCGCGCTGTATCGGTGCCAGTCTCCGAGAAGGAGGGCAGGCGGGTGCGTGACATTGGCAACTCGAGCGAGGACTACGAGAACTTCCGCGACAGCTTGGTGAGAGACCTTCCTCTCCTCTCGACACTCCTTTAGCAACTTCCAGTTGACGCAAGACATGCAATTTTGATCACACAGAAAGCGAAGGTGCCGGTGCCCTATTCGGACCAGGCCGTACGCGACTTTACGAAACAGACCATCGAGAATGTCAAGACCCGAGGTAACGTTCTCTCTATATGAGCCGGTTTCACAGCACACGCCAACACGACGTACGCGCGCTACGCACAGTGCGATGCACTCAGCTCATTCGACCTGCGCGTGCATGATACAGTGTTTGGTGGCGAGACTCTGCGCCCTGTAGCGCACTTCATGCTGGGCTTCAAGGACGACAAAAACGAGTCCTCTTCCATGGGCATGGTCGCTCTCGGTACGTGCAGCCTCATTGTGTGTGTCGTGTGTGTCGTGTCGTGTCGTGTGGCTCACGCCCTTTCCATTTCCTCTCGCTTTTCCCTGTTTTCTCAGAGAAGGGATTCGAATCGCCCGAGACCCATGCCTCCTGCTCCGAGTTCCTCCGAAAATACCAACAGGACATGGACGCCCACGCCGGTGCGTCCTTCTTGCCCGCACAAAAGCTGGCCGCGTGCTGCTCTATGTCGTCAGGTGACTCACACCCGTTGCCCACGTGTGGCGTGTGTGCTCGAGCGCAGGAATCGTGATCGTGCCCAAGTCGGCGCTCGCCTTTCCGCAGGTGTGGCTCGGCGGCGAGAAGAAGTGGCGGCATGCAGACAAGGAGGGCGTGTTCGTGCAGCTGGAGGCCCGCAAGGACCGAGGCGTGTGGTTCATCCCCATCACCCGCACTCCTGAGGGGCACATCAAGGCCGGCGATGAGGTACCACGACCTTTTATTGAATGGAGTATTATTATTTTGACACACGCGATGGTACAGGAGTCGTTGGACATCGACGTTTTCGGGCTCGTGCCCCGCCTCTACCCCCAGTGAAAAGGAGCGCCTGTCCCGAAGCGCGTGTGCTGCTGCTCATCACTTCAAGATACGAACTGGGTCTTCATTATGGAAAAATACGTAAAGACACACTCTCTCTATGGACACTCTTCTCTTCTTCTATGCACATTCTTTCGCTCTCGCACTCGCTCTCTACATTCGTTCCGATCACGCGGGAGCCGAGGCGTCGCTGCTGCTTACATCAGCGACCATCCCGACCACGGCGCCGCTATCAACGGCAGCGTCGACGAGGCCGGCACTGGCCGCCTCGGCCTCGGCGGCCACCGCCGCTGCCGCCGCGAGAGCGCGCTTGGACACCCGGGTACCGGGCTTCTTCTTCGTTTTGTTGGTTTTGTTGTTCTTCTTCTGCTGCCGCTGCTCCTGCTGGTTGCGGAGCTGATTCATCTTCTGCTCGATCTTCTTCATGCGGATGCCGCTGATCGACTTGAGCTCGTCCAGCCGGCCCTCCTTGATCAGCACCTTCTTGTACCGCCGCTTGAAGTCCGCCACGTGGTTGGCGTGGATGCCCTCGCCGATCGCCTCCGCGATCTTGCGGTTCGACGTCGGGCTGTAGCCGTACTTGCGGAACGCGATCTGGAACCGCGCGATGCGCTCCTCGGTCCACAGCGAGCGCAGGTCGGGCGCGCCCTCCATTCGATAGCTGCGCTTCTTCTGCTGCTTGGGGCTGGCCAGGAAGGCCTCGTACAGGGCCAGCACCGCCCGCCGGTCGTACCCGTCGCGCTGCGGCAGCCGGTACCGCCGCCCGCCGGCGCTGGTCGACGCCGCCACCCGCCGCACGGCCTCGGCCACCACCCGACGCTCGGCATCGGCCGCGCTGTTGTTGTCGCTGTTGTGGTGGTGGCGGTCACCGTCGACAGTGTTGGCGACGGCGTTACCGACAGTGTCGACGGCGTGGAGGGCAGGGTCGACGGCGAGGTCGAGAACGAGGGCCTGGATGGCGTCGGAGTCGTACGGGAGGGCCTCGTTGCCTTCGAGCTCGGGCTGGGGCGGCGGCAGGCACCGCAGCACTGCGCGGCACAGCATCGGCAGCCGCGCCAGCGACGGCCCGCGACCGCCGCACGTCCGGCCGCCGCTGCAGCTGCCCACACCGCCCAGGTTGACGATGCAACTGGCCGAAGTAGATGTAGCGGCCGTGGTCGTTGTGGTCGTTGTGGTCGTAGTGGGGGTTATGGTCGTGGTGTCCATGGTGGGGTCCTCGTCGTCCCTGGCATCGCTGCTACTTCGTGGTGCTCCTCGCCGACTGCTGCCCTCGACGTAGTCTCCATCTTCATCTGCATCATCACCATCTTCCTGGTCCAGGTCGTCGCTCTTTCGTCGCCGTTTGGAGGCTCTCCTCGTAGCGGTGGTGGCACCGCCGCCCTTCTTGGCCTTCGATGCACCACGCGCGCCACCACCCCCCCTCTTGGCCTTCGTGGTGGAGGACTTCTTGGCTGCAGGCTGCCGACGCTTGCGGCTCGTCGATGATGAAGACGAGGCGGTGCTGGTCGCTACAAAATCGTCATCTTCGTCATCTTCATCCTCTGCCTGGTAATCTCCGTCGTACTCTTCGAATCGGTCCTCCTGCACGTTGGATGGTGCGAGCAGATCATCATCATCTCCACTCCCTTTCGAATCCGTGGCGCCCGTGAGTTCTTCCTCCATCATCGATTCCGGAGCAGCAAGATTGCTGCTGCTGGCACACCGGAGATCGGGGAAGGGGGGAGGCCCTTCTAAAGCTGGAACGTCGATTAGAGAAAGGACGTCCATCTCCAACCAAACTAGTTAGAGTGGTGTACCCGCAGCGTGTTTGAGTTGCAAGGTTTTGTTCGCTTCTTCTTTTGGCACCTAAAGTCCGTCGTCGTCAGGCAAGGCCGCCACATACCGTCATCTTTTTACACTCCTTTTCCTCAAACTTCTTTAGTAATTTCTTTTCGCCTTTTCTTGTTTCCCGTCTCTTTTGCGCGTCTCTCCTCTTGCTTGTGCTGTACCACCTCCCTTCTTTTGAGCCTTGGGTGGGACCCCTTTGCAAAGGACAGACTATTGTGCTGTGCCATGCCGGTCTTGCAACAAGAAGGAAATGCCTATTTTTATTTTGGCTTTGGCGACAGCACTTGGCCATCCAAGTGCCCACCAACCACCAGAAAGTGGCCACCAGTGATGTGGTGCAGTGTGCGCAGCTCGTCATGCCCTTCAAAGCTCCAACGCCCATCCTTGAAGACTCGCTCGTCTGCCTGGGCGGCCACGACTTCGCCCAGGAAGAGGTCGTGTTGCTCGTGGTTGTGCGGCTCGGGCAGCAGACGGCACTCCAGCCAGGCCGCACAGCCCGCCAGCAGCGGCGCCTCCACCACCTCGCCCTCGAACGTCTCCAGACCATAGGCCTCGAACTTGTCCCGCCCCTCGCCGTCCAGGTCGCGGCCGGAAGTAGAGCCGACCGTGTAGGTGATGTCGGCCTGGCCCACGACCGGCACGTTCAGAACGAAGTAGCCGGACGCCTCGAGCAGTATGCGGGTCCAGGTGGACTTGTCAAGGACCACCGCCACCTTGGGCGGGTCGAATTCGACCGGCATCGACCATGCGGCGGCCATGATGTTGCGCTTCCCCTCGTGGGCCGCACTGACCAACACCGTGGGCCCGTGGTTGAGCAGACGATAGGACTTGGTGAGAGGCACAGGACGACGAGTAGAGGATGACATCAAAGGAAGCGCCCAGGCTGTTCTGTTTGTTGACGCGCGCAACAGAACAGTTCTGCCCCTTCTGTCTGTCCAGCTCATGAAAACCGCCGATACGACGCCCACACAACGCCGATACAACGGAGCGAAATCCCCCTATTTGCCTGGTAAAGCCAAGTGGTAATGCCAACACATTGGAGCACAACATGTTGGATGTCAAAATATGGTCAGGCTAGTTTATGAGTGTGTACTGGTGGGTCTTGGGCACGAGGAGGGCAAGGGCGCATCCTATCAGACCCCACACCGACGCCATCACCGCAAACACCCAGCCGATGCCTGGCGCGTGGTGGCAGCACAATCACCAGGTGTGCGTGTGAGAAGCGCAAAGAGTGGAGTCAGGGCAGAGCAAAGGGCAGGGAGCACGTACTGGGTGCCCAGTAAAGGTTGGAGTCGCTGCCGATGTCCTTGGAGCCCACGAACGAGCCGCACCAATACTCTCCTGCACACAAACAAAGCGTCAGGATCGTAAGAATTAGAATGAATCCATCACACACACAACACACACACACACACGACAATTGCAACACGACCACACACACGAGAGATAATTTACCCTTGCACTTGAGGAAATCGATGTCGTCCAGGGCGGTGGGAAAGGCGAAGAGTGCGCCCCAGGAGGCGACGGCGGTGAGGAAGGAGAGGAGGGAGGCGAGGAAGATGGACCACTTGGGGCAGTTGCCGCACGACTCCTCGAGGCTACGACGCGCGCTGCGTCGCATGAGGCAGCAGAAGATGAAGCACGAGACCAGGATGGACAGGACGAGCGATACGCCAGCCAGCGCCATGCAGGCAAAGTAGACGGTCTGTGGTCGGTTGGAGCTCTTGCCCGAAATCTCTTTGAGGTCGTTCCAGGAGTACTCCTCTGTCGAGTCCGAGCCATCCTCTGCAGATGCATTAAATAAATGTTAATTAATCAATCATGAAAGAAATGCTGGTGGCCACCAAGGCCGCCGAGAAAACGAAGTGGACAGCTAATGATGAAAAAAAGATGAAAATCTTCGGATACAGAGTACTTACTGGGATTGATGTAGATGACGAAGCCGGTCCAATAGAAGGAGGAAATGAGGTCACCCTCGCTCGTCGTGTTGCTGCCAGGAAGGCTGTAAGTGCCGCGCTCAGCAATTCCATACCAGGGGAGCGCCAGGGCCACGATGAAGAAGATTACGGCCAAGAGGGTCGCCATGAACGCCCAACATTGTCGCGTGCACCAGTGAGGACAGCCAGACATCCTCTTCTCTCTTTTCTCTTTACCAAAAAATCGCCTTCAAGATGAAGCCTCTACACAAAGATTTACAACGACCTTTCCCGCCGACACCAGCACCTTTCGTGCTCCTCTTCAGTTTGTGTCGACTCTCTTTTTCGCCGTGTGATTTTTTAATATTACATTTTTTTATCTCATCCTTGTGCAAGCTGAAGATGGAGTCCCGGTTGAGCTTGGCCTTGACAGTGGCCTTCTTGTGCCTCCTGGTGGCCTGCATGGTGGCAGGTGGCGACGCCAAGCTTTCCCTGCTCGGTCGTGTCGCGCTGGAGCCTGCGGTTGGCTCGCAGTCGCTGCGAACTCCGCCGGCCGGCTGGGTCTCGGTCTCGCACCAGCAGCCCAGCCGCGCGGCAGTGGTGCCCCTCACCTTTGCCCTCACGCGCCGCGACTCCGGCCTCATCCAGGTCCCGACCTTGCCTCCGTAAATTTAGATATTTTAAAGATTCTATTTATTTTGTTATGCTGACGTGTCACATGTGCAGGCCAAGCTCCAGGAGGTTTCCACCCCGTCGAGCCCGCACTATGGTATGCGCCGTGTGTGCGGCATGCGCGTTGCACTGCAACATGAACATAAAATGGTTGAGCTCACACATGATTGGACAGGTCGTTATCTGAGCGCGAGCGAATTGGCTGATCTGGTGGCGCCCCCGGCCGAGTGGGTCGCGGCGGTGGTCGATTGGCTGGCGTCGCACGGCGTGCGTTCCTACGAGCTGTCCCGCAACCGGGACTACATCACCGCCCACGTCGACGCCGACCAGGCCGAGGCCCTCCTCGCCTGCTCCTTCGGCCGCTTCCGCCACACGTGCGTCTCCGCGCAACACACATCGCACGACGCACGACACAACACGCACGACACAACACGACACGCACGCGACGCGCGGCTGAATGTGACGAGCGTGATATAGGGAGACGGGCCAGGAGGTGATGCGCTGCCTGGCTGAGTACTCGGTTCCGGCCCACGTCGCGCCCTTCCTCGACTTGGTCGCCGGCGTCATCCGTTTCCCTAGTACCCGACCACTCTTTTGCGTCGTGGCGTGCGTGCGTGTGCGTGTCGTGTGTCGTGTGTCGTGCGTGTGGCCAACAACGAGTGTTGCGCGTGTCGTGTGGGCAGACTATGGCAAGGGTCAGTTGAAGGCCAGCGTGGACGCCTTCGGGGCCGACGCGCCGAGCAAGGTGCCCATCACGCCGGACATGATCCGCAAGCTCTACAGCATCACCAATGTCCCCAAGGTCGCCAACAACCTCCAGGTACCACTCCCCCTTTTATTTTATTATTACAATTATTACAATTGCTATTATTATTGGCCATTTGTTTGTCACTTGTTTTCTTTTTGTTATTTTGACGTTTTTTAAAAATTATTTAATTTTTTATGTGACTGACGAGTGCGGTGATGGAACTTATATGCGGCAGGCGGTGGTGTCGTTCCTGGGCCAGTACTATTCGGCGCAGGACCTGCAGCAGTTCCAGAAGCTGTACGGGACGCCCGTGCTGCCCATCGAGCACACCTTCGGCCCCAACGACCCGACCGCGCCCGGCGTGGAGGCCAGCCTCGACGTCCAGTACCTCACCGGTGTCACCGGCGCCGGCCGCGGCAGCTTCGGTGCGCCACCATCGCACACAACACGCACGACACACAACACGCACTACCCTCACGCATGTGGCCTAATCGTTGCGCGTGTCGCGTCGTGTGTCGTGTGTGTCGTGTTGTAGGGGAGAACATCCCGACGTGGGTCTATTCGACGCCCGGCAGCAGGCCCGGCGGAAACGAGCCCTTCCTCGACTGGCTCCTCTTCCTCCACAATCAAACCACCCGTATGCTCCCCTCCCCTCTCCCTATTACGGTGCGGCCACGTGTGCTCATCCATTACCGTCGTGTCGTGTCGTGCGCCGTGTGTCGCGTGCGCAGTTCCCCACGTGTTCTCGATCTCGTACCAGGATCTGGAGTACACCGTCTCTGAGTCCTACATGCGCAGGTACTCCACCCAACCCATATTTTATCTCTCTTTATAAATGCACATATCTAGTTACACATTCTTTCTTATATATTTGTATATATAAAATAACGAATATGTGCGTATTTTACTTAAATTGTCACGGGCAGGATCGACGAGGAGTTCGCGATGTTTGGTCTGCGCGGGCGCACCTTCGTGACCGGCAGCGGCGACTGGGGCGTCGGCTGCAAGCCCGACTTCCACAAATGCACCGTGTTCGTCGCCGACTTCCCCTCCTCCAGGTACGCACCACTCGCCCAGCCCCCCCCCAAACCAATTCAACTAACCCGCCGGGGCGGGGTCGGTCGGGCTAGCCCGCACATCGTGTCGACGGGCGCCACGTTCTACAACGACTCGACCGGCCGCGAGAACGGCATCGCCTTCAGCAGCGGCGGCTTCTCCTGGTACGCACGTGTGTGCGTGTGCGTGTGCGTGTGCGTGCGTGTGTGTGCGTGTGCGTGCGTGTGGTGTGTGTGTATGTGTGTGTGTGTGCGCGTGTGCAGTCGCTCACGTCACGCGTGCAGGTCCTTCGAGCGTCCGTCGTATCAGAATGCGGCGGTGGAGGCCTTCCTCCAGCGCACCCGCACGCCGGACGTCCTCTTCAACCGTAGAGGCCGCGCCTTCCCCGACATCTCCGCCATCGGCTCCAACTTCCAGGTTCACCACTCACACCAATGCGCTTTCTGCAGCGTGTGCGGTACTCAAAATTGTGTCGTGTCGTGTGTGTCGTGTGTCGTCGTGTGTGCCTTGTAGGTTGTGTACAACGGCACCGTCATCCCCGTCGCCGGCACCTCCGCCTCCACGCCCACGTGCGTTGACCCTCAAATCATTACTTATTATTACTTATTCTGTCTTGCTTATTATTTATTGTTTATTTTTACTTATTATTTATTGTTTTAATGATGGTCGTTGCAGGTTCGCGGCGGTGCTGTCGCTGATCAACAGCCTGCGGTTGGCGGCGGGCCGCCCCACCCTCGGCTTCGTCAACCCGTTCCTCTACCAGGCCGCCTCCGCCTTCACCGGTCCGACGCGTGCTCCCGACTCCCTCTGCCTGCACTCCTCCTGCTCTCTCATCTCTGGCCTTTGGTGACCATTGTTGCGGTGCCTCGTGCGCGTGTGTCGTGTCACGTGTGTCGTGTCGTGTGTTGTGTCGTGTGTCGTGTCGCGTGTCGTACGTCGGTCAACAGACATTGAGGAGTGCCAGAAGCAGGACCCCGGGTGCTGCAGCACGTCCTTCGCGTGCGAGAAGGGCTGGGACCCCTACACCGGTACGTCAGCCCCCCTCCAATCCTCCTTCACTTTGCTTTGATTCTGATCATGCCGTGCCCGTCGTCGTCATCGTCGTCGTCGTCGCCAGGCCTGGGTACGCCCAACTTCGAGAAGCTCGCGGCGTTGGCCATGGACGCCAGCCTCTTCAACTTCCCGCCGGCCGGTCTCCCCCTCCACGCCTAAAACATGCAACTCTTCTCTTTTGTCCACATCTTTTGTGTTTCTTTTGTAAAACATTTTTTGTAGTTACAAGGTGCCCTCTGGTCTTTCTCTTTCGTGTGTGCTGTGCTGTGTGCTGCGTGCTGCGTGTTGTGGCCGGTGTGGTAGGGTTCAGGTGCTGTCACCCTCCTGCTCAGCAGACCGCGCGCCGCAGGACGCCGGAGCAGACGACGCGATCGCGCGTCGATCGAGCAGCATCCCGTGATCCCTACGCGTGTCGTGTCGTGTTGCGTGTCGTGTTGCGCAAATCAGGAGAACGTCCAGGCTGGGAAGAGAGGTGGGAACGAGAGAGTACCCGCGGAACCCCTTGTTGCGATTGAGGGCGGTCTTCCACGCCCGGTTGGACTCGCTGATGCCGGACCCGCCGCCGCCGCCGGCGCCTTCGAAGGCCTCCTTCTTCTCCCGCGTGTTCCCTGCCAGCGAACCCGCCCGGGGCGAGAGAAGCGCGTCCCTCTGCCGCGCACGACACCCACCACGGCACACGCCGCACACCAACACGCAGGTGAGCGCACAGCCGCCACGGCTCGGCCAGAGAGAGTGAGAGAGTATGTACGCTGCCCACCGCGGTGGTGGTCGCCTTTTGTCGCTGCTCCTCGCGCCACTTGCGCAGCAGGTCCAGGCTCTCCTGGCTCTCCTTTCTGTAATCCCCCTCCCCCGCGGAGAAATGAGCAAACGCTGCGCGTGTCGTGTCGTGTCGCGCGTGTGCGTGTGGGTGTGGAAGGGAAGCGTACTCTTCGACCTGCTTCTGCTTCTTGCAGGGCAGGCAGCTGAGTTCGAGCTTGAAGCGGGACATGACGGTCTTCTTGTCGGCCACCACGCTGCAGGTCCCGCAAAAGACCTGCCCGCAGGAGCGGCACCGATGGCGCCGGCGCAGGATCGTGAAGGCCGCCCCGCACAGGTGGCAGCTCGGAATCTCCTCGCCGCCCTCCCACTCGAACTCTGTTCGGTGCCCATCGACCACCGTCAGTGTCGACACACGCACGCACGCACACACACACACACACACACGCACACACACGCACACACACGCACACGCACACGGATGCGTGTGTGCAGGAATTCGATGAATTTGAGGGTGTACCGCGCTTGGGGAGGGTGGGGTTGTCCTTGGAGAACGACACCAAGTCGCAGTCCTTCCGCAGCCCAAACAACTGCTCCGTGCGCGCCTGTAGGTTGGTTTGACCCGAAAAGTGAGTCATCCAAAAAGACACAACACGACACACGACACACGACACGCACAGGTGCGTTCGTACATCGAGAGAAGGAAAGCTGAGGAAGAGGCCCGTTTTGAAGGCCAGCTCGCCGCCGTGGCCGTCCTCCTGCATAGTTGCAATTTCGAGATCTCAGTCCCAGGCTCTCACACAAAGTGATGAGAGGCATTTGGTGGCGATTTTAAGGTGGCGGTAAGGGGGAGTACGGGGAGGGCGATCCAGAGGGAGCACGGGCTGCTCTGGCGGCTGCTGCGGTACATCTTCAGGGTCTGCCGCACGCTGTCCGACGTCTTCCACAGACACTTGCGGCTCGTCACGCTCTTCACCGCACTACGCACACCACTGGTCGCTCAGCTTTGCCACACGACACACGACACACGACACACGCAACATGCTGTTGAGCGGCAGAGGCGAGGGTGGCTGTACCTGACGTGCACGCAGCGAAAGGTGTTGGTGGCGGGCGGCATGCCGTCCGGGCTGGTGGTCACCACATTACCCAGGGCCACGTATTGCGGCGTTGGCGGCACCGCCTGTCACGAAACACACATCAGACACATCACACAGTGAGCACTCAAAGAAGTCGCCATAGCTCGGAGGCCCAACAGCACCTTCCAAAGGGCCAGAAAGCCAAACTTGGAGCCCAGGCCCGAGTTGTCCTGCGCACCCCAAAATGCAGAATTGGCCACAACACACACACACACACACACACACACACACACACACACACACACACACACACGATGAGTCCTTGGCCGCGGCTTTGGGCATACGACGCACGACACACGGCCGCATGCAACACGCATGACACAGGACGCACGCACCCAAACTTTTACGAAGCTTTTGGGAGCGACGAGGAGCGGGGTGTTGGAGGGCACGGAGGCGAGGCTCAACGATGATAAGGAAGAAGATGGAGTGGGAGATGAGGAAGAGGACGCCAGCGATAACGATGGCGACAACGACAACGGCGACGATGACGACGGCGAGGTCGACTCGCGCGGGCTTACCGCCGCGGTCACCGTCGCCGTGCCCTGGTTGCTGCGCGCCAGCCAGCCCGGTGGCGGTGGTGACGTCAGCAAATAAAATAAAATAAATTGTGGTAGTCGCGCGAGTGGTACGAACCCGCTGACCTTCAGCATGAGGCTCAGGCGCGGGACCTTGCTCTCCCGCCCATTCTCTGGCTCCGCCCCAGCCGTCGACCTGCCACACACAACACACGCGACCAAACACGCACGACACACAGCGCGACACGACGCGCACAGAACGAGTTGAGGCATTAGGGCCGCGCGCCGCCGATTGGGTTTGCAATCCCGCTTCTCAGGGCACCAGCCGGGCTGGGTGGTACTTACCGAGTGGTGGTGGGGTCGCTGGTCGGCCTGAGCGCGGACGCGGGCGGCGGCGCCTTCTCCTCAAAGAACTGCTTGAGCACGTTGATGTTGCTCCGCCGTCGCTGGAGCGAGTTGTCCTCCAGCATCACGCCGGGCACGCCCAGGAGCCCCGAGGGCCTCGTGTCGTACGTTGTGGCCGCGGTGGTCAGTGGTGTCGACACCACCAAAGTCGTTTGTTTCGTGCTCGATTCGTGCGAGGCCGTGGTGGTGATGGTGGTGGTGGCCACGCTCGTAGCGGCGGCGACGCTGTCGGCACTAGTGCTAGCGGTGTCCGGCACCTCCGTCTCCTCCGGCGGGAAGAAGAATTCGAGCGACGTGATGATGGTCTCCACGACAGCGTTCGCCGTGTTTACGTCCCTGAGCGCGGGTGCAGCACAAGCTCAGAGTGAGCGCTGTGATGGTTCTCTTGTCACCGCACGCACGCACGCAACACAACACAACACACAACACACAGCTATATGTACCGAAGTACAAATTCGGGCTGGGTGTGGTCCTGCTGTGAAGGGTGAGGGTAGAGCACGTTGGGGCCTAAAGAATCACACCGGACCAGGTCATTCCCGCGTGTGTGTGCGGTGGTGTGTGCGTCGTGTCTTTGTATGTGTCGTGTACGTGTCTTGTGCGTCGTGTGTCGGTTGTGTCCGGCTACGAACCGATCATGGAGGCGAGGTTGGAGGCGGGCATGAGATTGCTGTGCGAGTGCTGGGCCACTCGGCTCAGCAGCCCGAATATTCGGTGCATCACCTTGAGGTTGACCTCCGGCAGCTCCTGCATCACCGCCATAATCTTCTCCCGACTCTCCTCCGGCGTCTGTGATGCTGTTGTCGCGTGTGTTGCGTCGCGTCGTGTGTCGTGTGTCGTGTGTCGTGTGTCGTGTGTCGTGTGTCGTGTGTCGTGTGTCGTGTGTCGTGTGTCGTGTGTCGTGTGTCGTGTGTCGTGTGTCGTGTGTCGTGTGTCGTGTGTCGTGTGTCGTGTGTCGTGTGTCGTGTGTCGTGTGTCTCGTGTCAGAAACAAATGAGTCCGAGACGAGGGGCCTGGCCCCTTGGGGGGTAGGGTCGCACTTGATATGGCCTCGGCCATCGAGTTCCACACCGAGAAGGGAAACAACGGTTCGGGCAGTCGTCTGCACATTGAATTGGCCCAAGAGTTAACGAAGACGCACGCGTGTTGTGCGTGCATATGCGCATATGCGTGCGTGCGTGGTAGCGCCTATTTGCCTGAGGAATCGTTTGATGATGTTTGCGGCTGCGTGCGGGTTGGCAATGGCGTCGAGGTCGATCGGTTGGCCGGCGTCAATGTCCCGCGTGAGGTTGTTCATGAGGCTGGTCACGTCGATGCGGAACAGGCCCACGGCCTGCAGGCCGTGCCGCTCGATGTAGGAGATGGCGTCGCTGATCACCGCCGGCACGGGCCGGCCCTCGCGGTGGGCCAGCTCCTGCAGCTCGGTGCCGAAGAGCGCCTTCTCACCGCCGCCCTCCTGTGTGGTGGTCGTCGTGGCCGCGTCCTCGCGAACGACGGGCAGCCAGCCGAGGCACACATCGTTGTCGCTCGGTCGGCCCTCAACCTCCTCCGCCCAATCGCCCAACGAAAACCACCCTGCAGCGCACACGCACCACCGCACACGCACACGCACACGCACACGCGCGCACAAGGCATGGACGTGAACAAAGCCGCCAACACACAAGACAGAAGAGAGAGAGAGAGAGAGAGGTGAGCACTTGCCTGGTGGCGGGAGCGGGCGCCAGAGGACGAGGCCGCGGACCTCCCACACCTTCTGTGCCTCCATGCATTGTGCCACCTCCACACGGCCCTTCCCTGTCGCGTGCGTGAGTTCGTGAGCCCCAAAAATGATTTCACCTAACGACGGAGGTAAAGCGGGCCGGAGAGAGCAGATGGATTTAAATGGAGGATGGGGCATCAGAAGCAGAAGGGGAGTACCTTTGTGGGTGCTGGAAGATCGTTGTCGCATTGGGAGGCGAGGTATGTGATGATTGGCAAAAATGCAAGTAGCGGATTGAATTTGTGATCACAATGATGTTGATTTCACTTCACTTGCGTGGTACGGTTACAACACGTTGTTGCTTCTTTACCGTTACCGTTACTCGAAGGGCGCGACTGCCAGAACTCGAAAGGTATCCACCCTATTTAGGGCTGCACGTAGAAACGAAGAGGTGTTCTTCTGCTGAGAAAAAAAAATCAGAAGCATGCCAAGCATTCCTTTGATATCATTTTCTTTTAAATTTTCTTTTTCAAATCCAAAGCCCAGGAAACGGTGGCTTGGTTGGCCTCGTGTTGCTCACGAACTCGATCGGCCGAGGATTCCTCGAGATTAGACGAGAGTGAGAGCTTGTTTTCATCTTGATAGAGAGGATGAGGAGGACTCCCGGTCCCGGAGGAGTCGGAGGAGGCAGCGGGTGGAGGTGGTCACAAACGGAGACGCTAGTGCGGGTCTCGTTCCCCGTTCCGCGCGGCATTCGCAAGAGCGATGTGACGCTCGCCCTTGCTGACAACAGCCTTCGCCTCACGCTACGCGACTTCCCTCAGCCCCTACTCGACGTACTGCTGCTTTCCTTACCCCCCCAACAAATCAAATCCTCTCTAATTACTCCATCATCCGGGACATTATCTCTCTTTTTTTCCATGCATCCTTGTGTTCTTGTTTTCTTATTATTCGCACCGTCTACTCCTTTTGGAAGCGGATTGGTGTCTCGATTGATTACGTCAGGTGGCTACACTTTGAAGCCACAACTTGTGACGGTCTCTCTTTTCTCCCTTCCAATGTACGTCTTTTCTTTAGGGGCCGCTGTGGGGCCGCGTCAACACGCAGAAGGCTCGCCAACGCGGGCACAAGCTCACCAAGAGCGGACGTGTACGCGTTACCATTGCCCGTGTACAACTATCATCATGACCGCACACTCACTCACTTCGCTTTGCTCGTCTCGCCGACGGGCCGACGCTCTACGCTCTACTGTGGCGCGAGTGCAGGTGGCAGTCACGCTTGAGAAGCTGGACCGCGTGCCCTGGAAGCAGCTGTTCAAGGAGGGCGTCAGCCCAGTCGCCGCCAACTACGCCGCACTCACGCCTCCGCCACCGCAGAAGAAGGTGCGTGTGTGGGCTGAACACGACGCACACATTTTGTTCTCCGCCGGTACGTCCAGATCTGACGCCTGGCGCGTTTCGTGCGTCGTTGTGTACACCAGTTGATGGTGGTGTACGACTATGACTCGGAGGCGCCGAACGAGCTGACCATTCGGGAGAACGACATCGTCACGGTGATCACCGAAGACCCGTCCGGTTGGTGGAAGGGCGAACTCAACGGCACCGTGGGCCTGTTTCCCTCCAACTTTGCCCAGCCCTACGAAGATGGGGTACCGTACCCCGCCTCCTGTCCACACCTAATGCAGAAGCATGGAAGTACTTAAAAGCGACAACACACACACACACACACACACACAATTCGAATGCACAGCCTGACCAGTGTACGCTCCGCCCTCTTTGTTGTGCTCTTTCTCGATTTCCATATTTCATCATTTTCATTTTATTACAATTATGAATGTTAATCCATATTGATTTATTTTTTAATTTGCTCCCAATGATGCAGTGGACGACGACTCGGATGAGGAGGAGGCGCCCGCGCTTTCCGCCATGCCCGTGGGAGCGGTGCCCATGCCTGGGCTACCGTCGACGCCGACCGGCGCTCCGTCCAACGAACTAATGGCCAAACTGCAGCGCCGAACTGCCGCCATTAACGGGCCGGCCGGCGGCGGAGCCGGACCTGCTCCTGGGCCTGCCGGGCCAGGAGCATCTGCACCGAGGGAGCCGCCCGCTTCTGGAGCCCCAAACGCGCCAGGTCCATTCGCCGGCCGCGGCGGACCCGGGACGAGGCCGCGCGACGTACGTCCCATTCCCGGTCGGCTCGCCGCGGCGCACCACGCACGACACACACGCACGACACACACCTGACGCCGTGCAATATTTATAGATTGCCAGGCAGTCGACACCGGTTCACGCTGGCCTGGGCGGCGGCGGCCCTGGCGCTCCGCCCGTAGCCGCCCGAGCGCAGAGCACCATGTTCGGTAGGGCCCCTCCCCGCACCAATCACGACGCGTTGATCGTTGGCGCTTTCTGATTTCTGATTGGCCGTCGGTCCCGCAGGAGGCCCCGAGGAGCGACCACGCGGAGGCGGGGTGGCCGCGGCCGCAGCGGCTCTGGCCGGCGCCGGCGGCGGTGGCTTTGGCGGCGCGCCCCCACCCGGCGGGGTGTCGCCCTTTGGCGGCGGCCTCCGAGCGACGGCTCCCCCCGCCACCTCCGCAGCTCCCGCTCCGGCGGGCGGCGGTACTCCACCGCCGGCGGGCGGCGACGCATCGAGGAGGCCGCCGCCTCCGGCCCGCGCCGCGCGTCCGATGCTCTCCGTCTCGGAGCCCGTCCCCGAGCTCGTCGTCTCGTCGCCCTTCGGCGGAAAACTCCGGCGAGCGGCTCCAGCGGCTCAGGGCCAGGAATCGATACCGTACCGTGCTGCCAACCCCCCAGAGTTCTCTCGTTTTCGTGGGAACTTAAAACGCTTCACTTCTTCTCTCGCGCATTAGTGCGCCGACGCCTGAGCTCGAGGCGTCGACGGACGCCTACGCTCCCCCGGGCACCGTGGCCCTCGCCAAGGCACGCACTTCACCGCACGCTGGGCGTGGCCGTAACCGCTAACATCTATGTACGCACGCGCGACCGCACACGCACGTACCACCGCACACGCACTCGCACACGCACAGGCGCTGCATGATTACCAAGCCACGGCCGACGAGGAACTCTCCTTTGGTGAAGGAGACACCATCTACGTGCTCGTCAAGGTGGGCCTCCATTTTTTCTCCTTTTTTTCTCTCTTTTTCTTTTCGATGCTGACACCTGACACGTCACGGCCGATGTAGGATGAGTCGGGTTGGTGGCAGGGCACGGCGAACGACCAGACGGGTTGGTTCCCGGCAAACTTCGTGGAGGAGCTGCCCTTCAACCCCGGGTCGTCGGACTCGTCGTCGGGCGCGTCGAGCCCGATGAGCTCCAGCGGCGACGGCCTCGGCGCGGATGACGCCAGCGTGGCCGACAAGCTCGCCGACATCGAATCCGCCAGCGCTCGTCTGGTAAGCGACGCCCAATCTCCACCTTCGCTTCTCCTCTTTCTGACCAATCACTTCCTTCGTGTGTTATGTCGTGTTGTGTGTTGTGTCGTGTTGTGCGCGTGCCGTGCAATATTACACCAGGCGACACCCAAGCGCGCCCTGGGAGCGTCGAACAGGCGCAGGCCGTCGCGCTCCAAGCGAGTCATTCCGACGGCCACGACCGGCGCGCCGTCGGTCGTGGCCTCCGTCCTCGCCTCCACCCCGGTCCCCGCCGCGTCGCCCGCCCCCGCCGCCTCCGCCCCCGGCCCCGCCCACGCCCCCGCCGCTTCCTTCCGATCCAATCTGCGAAAGTGCGTGGCTCTCTTTCTCTCTCTCGCCATTGGTCGCCAGGGTCTCACAACGCTGGCGTTGTGTTGCATGGTAACCACATTGTGCAGGGCCGCACCCACCGACCAAAACTCCGAGCCCGCGGAGGTTCCGGTGCCGGCTCCCGTCCCAGTCCCGGTCCCCGTGCCGGCCGCCGTCGAGGTCGAGAAGGAGGAGTCGAAGCCCACCGCCGTGCGTCGTCCCCTCTTAGAATCCGATCCGATCGCGCTGACTTTGACTCACGTGACGTGGCGCCCACCATCACCCAGGCCACGGCCGCGCAGCTCAAGAAGAGCCCGACGGCCGTCCTGGCCAGGGCGCCCGAAGGTGGTCTGGGCTCGTTGCCATCGCGACAGGCCACGTCACCCCTGTTGACCCGTTCCCCGGCTCCGGCGCCTGCGGCCGCGGCTTCGTCGCCGCTGTCGACATCGCAGTCGTCGTTGTCGACAGAGGCCGGCCAAGTGGTGGCGCCCGCCAAGTGGCCGACGCAGCAGCTGGGCGAGTACCGCGAGTTCTGCGCCGACGTGTGGGCCATGCTCGAGTCGGCCGGCGGTCTGGCGCTCGCGCTCTGCGCCACGGACGGCACCACGTTCGCCCGCGGCGGCGCCAGCCAGCAGCCCTTTGCGCTGGGCCAGTGCGCCTTCCCCTTCCTCCAGGCCCTTGCCATCAGCCAATCGGGCGCGCGCGCAATCTCCGCTCAAGTCGGATCCGAGCGAGCCCCGGCAGGTACTGTGGTCGACAACAATTGCAACCAAGCTGCGCGAGTGGTAACTAATAATGTGTGCGTGTCGTGTCGTGTCGTGTCGTGTCGTGTCGTGTCGTGTCGTGTCGTGTCGTGTCGTGTCGTGTCGTGTCGTGTCGTGTCGTGCACCGTGTGTTGTGGTGCTCTTGCGACGCAGGCGATGTACTGTCGCTGAATGCGGAGAAGAAGCCGCACAACGGGCTGACGTCGGCGGGCGCGCTCAAGCTGTCGTCGCTGCTCTTCGCCGGCCAGGACGCGCCGTCGCGCATCGGACAGCTCCTCCAGTCCTTTGCCGCCTTCGCCGGCACGCCCTACCTCTCCTGCTCCATGCCCGCTTACCTCTCGCTCCGCTCCACCTCCAACAAGTACGCGCCGCATTCCTCTCTCTCTGTGTGTGTGTGTGTGTGTGTGTGCGCGCGCGCGCGGTGGTGTGCGTGCGTGTGTATGTGTGTCTGTGGGCGTGTGCGGTCTGACGGACAATGGTATGTGTGGCATCTATGTGCAGAGACTATGCGCTGGCCTATTGGCTGAAGAGCTGCGGCGGGCTCGATAGCGAGGTGGTCCCCACCCTCGAGTTCTTCTTCCAGGCCTGCGCCATCGAGGTGCGCGCGCCCATCTCGCTCACAGTCAAACCTACGTAGTAGCGACTGGTCTTGACCGGGCTCTCTTCTCTTTCTCGACAGGCCTCGTGCGAGACGCTGGCCGTGATGGCCGCCACCCTCGCCAACTCGGGCGCTTGTCCCTCGTCCCTCAAGTACGCAACTCTCGGTGTCGTGTCGTGCCGTGCGCTATGTGTAGTGTCGTTTGTCGTGTGCGCACAAAGGCTAACGAACGAACGAACGAACGAACACGACGCGACAGGCAAGCGGCGAAGTCTGACGCGGCGGACGAGGTGGCCAACCAGCTGGCCAGCTGCTGCGGGCTGTCGGAATTCAACGAAACGCCCGACCGACCCATCGCCCTCAAGGCCTCCACCACTTCCGGATGCGCCTTCATCGTCGGTACGTGGACCCCCTGACTTCCTTTCCATCGCCTTCAACCACTTTTCTCACCGGCTGGCGCTCTTCACGTGTGTGTCGTGTGTGTCGTGTTGTTTCTTTGGGATGCAGTGCCGGGTGTGATGGGTCTGGCCGTCTTCGCGCCGCCCGCGTCCCCTGCGCTGGGCAAGTTCTGTAAACTACTCTCCTCCAAGTACCCCTCGCTCCACTCCGCCAAGCCATAATACCCCCTCCTCCTCCTGGATCATCATCTCTGGTCAATAATATAATATTAGCCATAGACAATATAAGCCACATATATATTGGCCCCATATATAAGCATAGTATGGCCGCATGTACTGCAGCTATACTGTTTCGATTCCAGCAGCACCAACAACAATAACTTAATTTCTTCTGTTGCATTTTGCCCCAAACGCATAGTGATGAATAGGAAGATGGCTGTGGTGTGTGATGAGGCTAGGGCGAAGAAAGAGGAAAGAGAAGAAGAGAGGGATAGATTAGTTGGCGAAGTTGACGACGGTGACGCCCTTCTGCGACTCCGTGCACTCGGGCTTGAACTCCACACTGATGAGCGCGCACCACAGCCCACGTTATCGGGGGGGGGGGGGAGTGGTGAGAAAACCTCCCATGGCCAGCAAACGAGCACCGATGAATATGCTGCGGTTGGTCGGAAAGAAGAGGAGCACGCACGTGACTCTGGCAACGCAGCTCGCCACAGTGCTCAGAACGTTGTTGAACTGGCTGTAGGGCTGAGCCGAGATCTGCACCTTGCCTGTTGTTGTTGGGTTGTGTTATTTCTTGAAAGAGAGAAAAACATGATGACGACGAAGATGATGATGAAGGGCATGATAGATGGATAGATCGACACAGACGATGATCTACGAGGTTTTACTTTGGGAGGGGGGGGGCATACCAGGTAGGGCGGGGTACTCGTTCACGGGGACGGAGCGGAGGTACTCGTCGTTGACGAAGTAGATGATGCCCTCTTCCATGCCCTCCTCATCGAAGAGGGTGATCATGGCGCGCACGCCCTGCAGGTCCTTCACGTTGGACAGCTCCCTGTTGTAGGGGTACTGCTCCAATCCTTCACCACCGGCCTCATCAAGTTCAGCGGACGAACAAGAGGTAATGATGAAGAAGAGGAAGAAGAAGCAGAGACTTGAAGAGGGGGTTGGGGGGGAATTACCGTGTTGGCCTCCAAACATCTGGATTTTGTACTTCTGGCAGGGGGGTGGGCCACCCTGGGCACGGGCAAAAGCAATGAGTGCGACGAGCACTGCGATGAACAAAGCGGCCTTCATCTCCCTTCTCAAAATCTATCCCAAACCAAAAAAACCTAATCAGATCTCCCCACTCCCTGCGTAAAGGACACTTCTGCTTATTGGTCGGTCGTAAAGGTTGGTCCGTGCTTTGCATTTTCTAGCAGGTAAAGGAATCTGTGGAATATCGGTAATTCGATTATGGGACAGAGTGGTAGTTTCTTTTTTGGTTGCTTTTTCGGCAACTTTTGGCCATCTGATTCATCATCAATTTTGTCTTTCAATCATCTTTCTCCTTGCACGCAGCAAGCCAAGCATCTCGCCACCCTCCAATCAGAAAGAAGTATTCTACGCACCAACAGACCATGTCAGATCGCAGACGCTCTGGTATTTAGCCTCCCATTTCTGTTTTTTACCCTATCTTTATTTCTTTTAATATTTAATGCAAATCATCTTGTCAATTCATCCCATCTCACTCTCCTCCAATCTCCATCTTGCACGTGCAACTGCAGATCGAGATGAGCGTGATGTGCGTCGCAGCGACAGGGATGACTACCGCAGCGACCGAGATCGCGACCGCGACGACTACCGCAGCGGCAGCCGCTCCGACAGAGACCGCGACCGCTACGTTTCAGACCGGGACCGCGATCGCAGCAAGCGCTCGCGCGAGAGGGACGACGGCGCGCGCGGCAGCCGCCGCGACATCGACGACCAGCGCGACGCCAAGCGCAGGCGCGACGACGACATCAACGATCGCGGCTCGCGGGGCTCGTCCTACGCCGACGCGCAGCACGCGCGTGCGATGGGCGTGACGTCGGCCGGCGCCGACGACGACGGAATGGAGGTGGTGCAGCCGACCGAGGAGGAGCTCGAGGAGGCGCGGCGCGTGGAGGCCCTCCTCCAGAACTCGTCGGGCGCCCACCACCGCGAGGCCAAGATCGCCGGCATCCGCCCGACCGAGAAGGTAACACCACGAGGCGCCCCCATCACCGTTGTCCTCTTTCGGGCCACTAAGGCGCGCGTGTCGTGTTGTGCGTTGTGTGTGCGTGTGTGGTGCGTTGTGTGTGCATGTGTGCTGTGTGTGCGTGTGTCGTGCGTGTTGTGTCGTGGGTGAGCAGTTGTCGGCGAGGCCGGAGCCGGTGTCGATCGAGGAGCTGGCCAAGCAGCGCGCCCAGGAGAGCGCCAAGCCCAAGTTCCTCTCCAAAGAAGGTCTGTTCTTCCCCCTTCCGGGCATACGAACGAGCCCACCAGAAGACAACACACACTCACCCATCCGTGCGTGTCGTGTCGTGTGCTGTGTGTGTCGTGCTATGTCAACAGAGAGGCAGCGATTGGCGTTGGAGAGGCGCGCGGCGCAGGTGAAGGAGAAGCAGGAAAAGACGGCCGAGATCCGCGAATCGCGCCAGCAGTTCTTCCACCAGGCCGACGACGCCCCGCCCGCCAAGCCCGACCTCATCGACGACCGACGCGGCGGGGGCGGGCGTGACCGCGATCGTGACCGCGAGCGCGACCGTGACCGTGACCGTGATCGCAGCGATCGCGATCGTGACCGCGAGCGCGACCACTGGCGCGACCGCCGCAACGACGACCTCGAGAAGAACCGCGTCGGCGGCGGCGGCGGCGGCAGCGACCGCGGGCGCGAGAGAGCGGACCGCGATGACCGCGGCGGCCGCGGGCGCGACGAGGCGGGCGACCGCCCGGACCGCGAGCGCGACCGCAGGCGCGAGGAGCTCGAAAAGAAGGAGAACCTCACCCGCGAGGAATCCCAAGAACTCTCCGAAATCAAGGTATGCATGCATGCGTGTCATTCCATCTATGTGTGTGCGTGTGCGCACACGCGTGTGTCATGTGTCGTGTTCTAACAACACGTTGCTTATATGTAGGCGCACTACCTGGGGCTGAAGAAGGAGAAGCGGAAGGTGGTGAAGCCGAGCGAGAAGTTCAAGTTCGTGTTCGCGTGGGACCTGTCGGAGGACACGTCGCGCGACCACAATCCGCTCTACAACCAGCGCCTCGACGTGCGGCCCTCGTTCGGCCGCGGCTTCCTGGCCGGCATCGACCAGAAGCAGCAGCTCAAGGCCTTTGAGGCCGACAAGGACCACTCGCGCGTGGCCCGCGTCGAGCGCCGCCTGGACGAGTCCTACCTCGGGCGGGGCGACACGGGCCGGCACTGGTCGCAGAAGGCCCTGGGCGAGATGACCCAGCGCGACTGGCGCATCTTCAAGGAGGACCACAGCATCTCGACCAAGGGCGGCCGCGTGCCGGTGCCCATGCGCAACTGGGGCGAGTCCAAGCTCCCCACCGTGCTCCTCGATGGTACGCACACGCTCGCCGCACACACCGCACACGCACACGCGTGTGTTGTATGATGGTTTTTTTTTTTTTAACTAGTGTGTCGTGTGTGCAGCGATTGAGAGTGCGGGGTACAAGCAGCCGATGCCGATCCAGATGCAGTCGATCCCGATCGGTCTGCAGGGCCGCGATCTGATCGGTCTGGCCGAGACGGGCTCCGGCAAGACCTGCGCCTTCGTCCTCCCCATGCTCGTCTACATCTCCAAGCTGCCCCCCATGACCGCCGAAAACGCCGTATGCCCCCCCCCTCAAACCGCACACGACACGACACGACACTCACTGACAATGACACACGACACACGACGACAGGCGGACGGGCCGTACGCGCTGATCATGGCGCCGACGCGGGAGCTGGCGCTGCAGATCGAGCAGGAGGCGGCCAAGTTCGCCAGCGCGATGGGCTTCCGCACGGTGGCGGTGGTGGGCGGCCAGTCGATCGAGGAGCAGGGCTTCTCGCTGCGCCGCGGTGCCGAGATTCTCATCGCCACGCCCGGCCGGCTGGTCGACTGCCTCGAGCAGCGCTACGTGGTGCTCAACCAGTGCAACTACGTCGTGCTCGATGAGGCCGATCGGATGGTGGACATGGGCTTCGAGGTGCAGGTCACCACCATCCTCGACGCCATGCCCTCGTCCAACCTCAAGTCCGAAGACGAGACCACGGCCGAGGAGCAGATGGCCGCACTCGTACGTCTTCTTTCTTTCGTTCTTTCTTTTCGCTTTCGTTCTTTGTTTCGGCGAAATGCTGACGTGTGTGTGTGGTCGGTGCGTGTGCGTGTGTGCAGCAAGAGGAGAAGCCCGACCACGTGTACAGAACGACGGTCATGTTTTCGGCCACGATGCCGGTCGCCGTCGAACGCCTCGCCAGAAAGTACACCTCCCCACCTTCACCCCCTTGTCGTGTCGTGCTGTGTGCCGCGTGTGTCGTGCCGTGTCGTGCGGTGTGTGTCGTGCGGGCGCTGACGGTGCGCACGGTTGGCTGGTTACAGGTATCTGCGGCATCCGGCGGTGATCCAGATCGGCGAGGTGGGCAAGGCCGGCGAGAAGATCGAGCAGCGCGTCGAGTTCGTGAAGGGCGACAACGACAAGAAGAACAAGCTCCTCAACCTCCTCTACTCGGGCATCGCGCCGCCCATCATGGTCTTCGTCAACCAGAAGAAGAACTGCGACATCCTCTCGCGCGCCATCAACAAAGCCGGCGTACGTCGAACACTCTTCTATTCTCACCCCTCCCCCCCAATATGTTAACATTGCTTGGCTGACCCCCCAACCAACGCAACAAACAAACAGTTCCGTTCGGCGACGCTGCACAGTGGCAAGAGCCAGGAACTGCGTGAGGAGGCCATGGACGGCTTCAAGGCCGGCACCATCGACATCCTGGTACTGTGCCCTGTGTGTGTGTGGTCGCGTGTGTGTGTCGTGCGTGTCGTGTGTGTCGTGTGTGTCGTTTTTCTGACCGGTCTTGTTATGTCGTAGGTGTCGACGGACGTGGCGGGTCGTGGTATCGACGTGAAGGGCGTGACGCACGTGATCAACTACGACATGGCCAAGTCGATCGCCGACTACACGCACAGGATCGGCCGTACGGGCCGCGCGGGCATGAAGGGCGTGGCCGTCTCCTTCATCACCAACGACGACGCGGACCTGTTCTACGACCTCAAGCAGATGCTCCAGGCCTCGGGCAACCCGGTGCCCAACGAGCTGGCCCACCACCCGGCGGCCAAGATCAAGCCGGGCGCCGCCGGGACGCAGGGCAAGACCCGACGAGAGACCGTCATCTACGCCCCCTAGAAGAGGAGAAGGGAGGCCTCAACTGGGCAGCACCAGAAGAAGAGGCTGAAGAAGAAGATAGTGACGGTGATGGTGATGGGAAGTCACTTGTAGTAGTTGAAGAAGGTGATTGTTTTTTTCAGAATAGACAACCGCTACACCACCAGAGCGTAGTGGGCTCAACTTCCATCTTTTTTTGTTGTTGTTTTGGCACTGGGCTAGTAGTGCTCGCCAAACCAGGCTGTGCCACACCACCATGATGGCAAATCAGTGGCAGAACGGAATCATGATTAAGCTTTGGGGGGGGGGCATACATTGCTTGGGTGACTTGAAGGGGACGAGAATGCCGCGGACATTAGGCATGGAGAGGAAGGTAATGGCCACGCCTTGATGTGGCAGAGAAAAATGAATGATAATTGAGAAATTAAGCGAGTGCCAATGCAAGCTCCAGGCAGCTGCACTCAACGGAGATCAAATTTGGCTTTGGGGGGGGGGTACCAAGGCCACCAAGGAAGAAGGAGATGGAGATGGCAGGGTCCTCAAGAGTGACCTCCTTCCAGAACTGGTTGAACCGGCCGAAGTAGGTGCCCTTGTTCACCGGCCTGATAATCGTGCGCACTCCTCTGGCAGCCGACATCCTTTCGTTGATTTGATTTCGATTTGATTTCGATTTTTACCAGCAACCAGGAAATGGAATTGCAAAACCATTTCTTGCCGCAAAAAAAAGGAAAAGAAAAAAGGCGGGCCAGGCTGTGCTGAGGTTCCCGCATCGGGTGGCCGGTCGTACACCAGGACGGCCGGAGTGTTAAAGTACTTTCCTCACGCCCTAAAAGAAGATGGTGACCACCAACCAAGGACGGATCTTAAATCAGGGTGGCCGCCACCCAAAAAAGAAAAAAAAAAAAACGGTAGTGTGGTGTGGAGCCGAAGTTGGTGATGGAGAAAATGGGAAGGTGAACAGCTCGATGTCATTCCTCCTTGTAGATAAGCACGCTGCAAGCTACCCACGAGTTCTGTTGGCGCTGGGGTTGCGAGTCCATATAAGGAAAGAACGCAAAGAATTTGATATTCTGAGCCAATTACGCGTGCGCTGAGGCCGCAGAGCACGGGGCACAGTCCGTGGATTCAAGCAGGTCGTTGGGGGCAGTGGCTGAGTTCTTCCACTTTTCCATGACCTCCAGTCAGAAGCAGGAGGGTGAACAGGCAGAGCTCACAGTCCTGGAGTTATGCGTGGCCAAGTATAAAACCAACTCAAGTTGAGCTCTTCAAAACCAATCCAACCTACAACAAACCAACTGACCATGAGCGACATCAACAAGACCAACACCAAGGACGGTAAGCATTCCACCCCACACTTACACAATTTGATGTCCACATTCTTCAGCAGCTACATGTTGTTGGAAAGCTGACCTCATGCTTGTGGTTATCATCAGCCGCCGACCTGAAGGCTGAGCTTCAAGTGGCCGACTCGCGGGAGCCTCTGGACATCGCCAAGGACAAGGCCCAGTTCCTCAAGAGGAAGGAGGAGCATACCTCGGCCAAGATGCAAAAGTACGAGAACTACAAGGGCGACATCGTCTACAAGCACAAGGACTACAACCACCAGCAGCAGCCCGGTGGTGCCCAGAGGGGCGCCTAAGCTCTATCCCTCCACTCCTCTCCTAAGCTGCTCGCGCTTCTTCATCTTTACAGCGACCCAGTCGATTGCTGGGCGCTTCTTTCTTATTTTAAGCTCGGCAGCTTTGCATAAACACCCTCGTTCATCTACGTCGCTGTCTTCTGCCACCTTCTTGTTTATTGGCGTTCGTTCATGAGAGGGAAGCGATGAACAGGGCGAATAGAGAGTGTGTACAGTACTGATCCACGGCGCAGGGGGGAGGGAGAAGCGAAATCGAAAAATCGGGAGACGAGAAAGAGGGGCGCGAGAAGAATGAGAGATGGTGAATACGATCGATTTAGTTGCCCTTCTTACGGCGGATGTTGTGGACGTAACCCTTGTTGAGGGGCGGCACGGAGCGAGACGATCCGCAGACGGTAGACTGGCAGACAAGGAAGTGGAGACGGTTCTCCCTCTTGAGCACGGTGTCTCGTCCCTTGCAGGTCTTGCACACGACGTACTCGTCGATGTACTTCTTGAGCAGCGACTCGAGCTGCTTGGGCATGAAGCGACCCTTGATAACGACGCGGCCGCTGCCGTCCAAATTGGCCGTCGTTCCCAACTCGACGATGACGTAGGTCAGGAGATGCTGGGGGTTGCGATTGAGGGCCTTCACGATCGCCGGGAAGTTGGACCACAGGGTCTTGCTGGTACCCACGAGGTAGGCCTCGGGCAGCGGCACGCGCTTGGATCGCTTCTGATCGGGCTTATCGCCAACGAGCTCGAACACGCGATGGAGCAGAGTCTCGTACGAGTAGTCCTCGATGTCGGCCTTGGCAGCCGCAGAGGCATCCTCGCCATTGGTGGATGTGGAAGGGGCGACCTCGTCGGATGTGGCCTGATCGGGGGCGGCATCGGTAGCCTTTACCTCCTCGGTGGCGGCGTCCGCGACGACCTTCCTCGTCCTCTTCTTCTTCTTTTGCGTAGGATCGAAAAGCGCAACTTCAGCCTCTTCCGACATGATGATGTTTGTGTTGATGCTGAATCGAATGGAAATCGCTGGGTTGGTGGGGTCCTCCCAGAAAAAACGAGGATTCACTTTTTTCTTCTTCAGGTCGAAGAAATAGGCCAGAAATAAATGAGCAAAAATTGTTGGCATTGTTTTGGTTGAAGAAGGCCACCTTTGCTGGCTTGATGGGCATTGTTGTTGCTGAAACGCCTGACTCAGCTGTGCTTATCCTTCCTACATAGACCCACAAGGCAAAGAAAGAGAAGATGTAAGTGTGATCGGGACTGTTCACTCAGCATCTGCACGGCAGGGAATGCGTGCGTACACAAGGTTGAGCCACTGCTGCAGCTTTTGGTTCTCCTCCTCGTCCTCTGAGTCAGACTCAGACACGAACTCGCTCAAGTTCAGCGGTGGCAGCCTGGGCACAACCTCCTGCATCAACACCCAGTTCAATGGCAACGCAACACCAACACAAACCAAACCAGAGGTGAGCGAGGCCTTGGTACCGAACACCACCAAGCGCGCGCAGACAATATGTGGGGAGTGATATAAGCAACGACGACGTACCTCAGGGACTTTGAAATCTATGTACAGGATGATCCGTTCTGAGTCGCTGTCGTTCCAGGCCGAGTGTGGGTAGGTGTCATCGAACACGATCACCTCGCCCGCTTTTCGCCAATGGTGCACTGATGGTGGCGTAAACAGAACCGGTTTGATGATAGTCTCGGTCAATCGAGAATGTCATGATTCAAGTCTTGACAGTCACGAGCAACGCACAGTCAAAAACAGAGCGAGTCTCAGCGGCGCACCTTCGGGTCCGCACACGAGACTGGCGCCCGATGAGGGGATCAGCAAGCCCAAGTGATAGGCCAACGCCCCGTACATGCGACCTACGACCCACAGCCACAGACAGAGCCCATGAGCACACGGGCGATGGCAAGACAACACAAACACGCTGCACAGTGGTGCCAATCGCGAGCGAGGAGACGCGTTGTACCCGTAAAGCCCTTGTGGGTGTCGATGCCGGACCGAGGCTGAATGCGAGAGAAGCCCGCCACTCGGATGCCCGGCACCTGCTCAAGCAGCCGCGTTGTTTGAGGGCACAACTGCACGCGCGTGTGTACGATGTGAGTCGCTACTTACAACCGATGCACGAACGCCATCGCACACGCAACACGCACGAAGGGCGGGAGCCAGACGAGGGAGGAGAAGTACATACAGCACAGTTTTCGGTCATGTACTGGCCGTTGTTCATGAGTCCGAAGATGGTCCAGTCGTTGTTGGGCCGGTCTGGGTTGTTGACTGACCACCAGTGCAACCAACCCTGCACAAGGCCATAAAAAAATAAAAATAATAAAATAATATAATTAATGAATCGGATGATAAATGTTACAGAAGGGCAGGACGCTACCTGTTGATTTTTGGTGCGTTGATAGAAATCGTCGAACTGCTTGTCTTCGCACCAGACGCCAGACAGCTCGGCACCGTTGCGTGACTCGGCGGAGACGATGGCTGACCCGAGCGCGGCACGAAGCTCCTCAAGGATGAGCTCGGCGTGTTGCGTGAGCACGTCGAGGTGGGGAAAGAGGGCGGGATCGTAGAAGTAGTGGTTGGTCTCTGGTCGCTTCTCCCGCGATTGCGCGGGCAGCATGGACAGTGGCTGCAGGGCATCTGCGGCCTCCATGACGTTGGCTCTTTCAAATGTTGATTATTTCTAAAAAAGAAAAAGCAAACAATTCGACCACTTGTCATCTTTAAAATCAACAGAGAAAAGAGCAAACAGAGATGAGCAGTAGCCAGGCCGAAGATGATGCTGCTGGCGACGAGCAACGCCGGTCTTTGTGGCAGTTCCTGCTGCACCCCATTGAATCCTATGATGACCTGATGGAGACCCTCCAGTCCTCCAGCGACACCACCTACAAGGAAATCGGGTACACAATCTATGCCGAATTATTCTGCAAGGGGTGAGATCTAATCGATGGGCTTCGTGGTCAGATACACGACTGCCGTAGCACTCAATGTGATCTTGTTGCTGGCCAAGTTTGCCCTCCCGCACGCATGGCGGGTACCTTGTCCTCTCCCTCTTGAGCCATCCTGCACGAGAATCTTGGCGCCAGACCTGTCTTTGTTGTTTTACTCGATGACTACAGCTGCCGTTCGGTGTGGGACTGCTGCTCTTGAGCTGCGCCTTTGCCTGGCGCTTCTTCACCAAGAAGAAGCTCTACCGAATCTACAAGAGGGAGGGCTCGCTGGTCCGTCCCTCTCCACCTTTCTCTTCTTCTTCTTTCCTCCCAATTCATCAGCACACGCCTCACCTTCTTCTTCTTCTTCTCGGCAGCCGATCAAGTCGCCCAACGTGCGGGTCGCCGTCACGAGCCCTCGGAAGCTCAGGGGAGCTGTACGTCCTTCGCTCTGGTCACTGTGCTGACTGAGCGCTGCTTACATCAACACCGGACAATGGCTGTGGCCGGCGCCGCCAAACAGGTCTCTCGCAACGACATCACGGAAGTGTGCGACCTCATGCTCTGGGACCCGCCCATCATCTCGAAAACTGTGTTCTGGTACACAGCAAACACACTCCTAACCACCACCAACACGAGCAACTTACTCACCTCGTCGATTCGTGTCGTGTCGTGTCGTGTGTGTCGTGTCGTGCTTACAGCCTGTTTTCTCCGCTCCAAGTGGCCGTGGTGCTGGTCGCGAATGACTCTGACTTGATGGCCTCCATCTTTTCGCTCGTCTTCGCCGCCATCATTGCCATCTTTGTACGCGCGCTCGCTTTTCATCGCTCTCCATGACCGCTACTCTCCTCCCTGACCATTTTCTTTTTCCACGTGCGGCCCTGCACAACAGATCACGTTCATGTGCAACGTGTTCACCACGTGGAAGAACGACCAAGAGGTCATCTTCAGGGAGGTACGTACCACTTCACTCCACTCTTGCGCATTGTCACACACACAGCACGCAGCACACAGCACACACACAATTTACACAAGTGGTCATCATGGCACTCACCCACTCACCCATCTGTCGCGCGCGTGCAGGTCTACGATGAGCAGAATCGGTTCATGCTCTCGCAAACGGCCAAGCCCAAGGCCGACGCGGCCATCCAGGCCGACGCCGTGGACACCCACGAGACCTCGCTCCTCTACCCGGCCTATCCGCCCACCGGTTCGCATTACCGACCTAGCTTCCGCCACTACCCGCATCCGCAGCTCGTGCCTGACGTGTGTGCGGTGTGTGCGTGTTGTGTGTGTGTGTGTGTGTGTGTGCAGTGATCGTGGTGCCGCCAACGCCGGTGCAGACCACCCCGCGCTCGTTTTCTGCTGGCACTCGCTCGTCCGCCGGATCGCAGACCACGCCCCCGTCGTTGACTTCGCCCACTTCAATCCCGAGAAAGAGGAAGAGTACGTACTCACGTCCTCTTCTTTCTTCTTCTTCTTCGTGCTACCATGTCACAGTTGCATCACCATCAGCTGTTTTAGACTCATCTTTTTGATGACGCTGATGTTCGCGTTACTTGCGTGCAGAGAGCGTGAATCCGTTCCAGCAAGGCGGCCTGTAAGGACCAGTGAGGCCCTCCCACATGCATCCATATGTAGATAACAGCCCACAAACAAACTGTGGACGGGTGTGTGCTCGCGGAGAATAACAAACAACATGTTGTTCAGCCCATGTTGTGTGGTCCCAAAAGGCGGAAGGGTGCGGGAAGTGGGTGTTGGTATCGTCGGGATTTCCGCCTGATAACCAGGACTTTGAATTTGTCGACAGCCGGCGTGAACTCGCACGGGCAACATGTTTGCCGGCGCGTCGGGAAGGTCAGTATCCCACGCAATCGCCCCGCCAACAGCGAAGCTACGCAGCTGCCCGCTACACATCTATAAATCTGCATCACATCGAGGCACAATCTAAGAATCTACTACCGTGATGGAGACGCAAGGAAGACAGGCCTACCCGATGACCCTCACCCAGTTCATCCTGGAGGAGCAGCACCATCACCCCACTGCCCAGGTACGACGATTGAGTTAATAACACTCCTGGGCGAAGTAGTTTACGCGTTGTTGACCGAGTGTCCTTCCTTTGTGCTGCGATCGTAGGGTGATTTGTCGATTTTGCTGCATGCCATCGAGATTGCGTCCAAGTACGTGTCGGCCCAGGTGCGCGCCGCTGGAATCTTCGATCTCTACGGTGTCGAGGGCACCACCAACGTGCAGGGGTACGTAGGGCCCTCCCAGCATTCTCAAATCTTTTCGCAGTGTATGTGGCCCAGCCAAAAAGCAAACCTTGTTCTTTCTTCTCTCCACAGGGAGGTGGTCAAGAAGCTGGACGTCATCGCCAACGAGGCCTTCATCACCGCCCTCAAGCGCAGCAAGAAGGTCTGCGTGATGGTCAGGTACCGTGTAGCGCCAACCGCAGCTCAATCGGTCGTAGCGTAGTCGTTTACGTTGGGTGTTTCCCGCACTACTCAATACTCGCAGTGAAGAGAACGAGCACCCGATCGTGGTCGAGGCCTCCCTCGGCAAGTACGTCGCCGTCTTCGATCCGCTCGACGGCTCGTCCAACATCGACGCCAACGTCTCCATCGGTAAGCACCGTCTCCTCGCCACAACTCGCGGCCCAAGTCGCTAAGCCCAACTGTTCTCCGCAGGCACCATTTTCGGCATCTACCACCGCAAGTCGGCCAAGGGCACCACCGACTACACCGAGGACCTCCTCCAGCCCGGCAACAAGCTCGTACGTTGAGCTTCTGAGGATTACATACGCTGAGCTGAGAGCTGAGAGCTGAGAGCTGAGAGCTGAGAGCTGAGAGCTGAGAGCTGAGAGCTGAGAGCTGAGAGCTGAGAGCTGAGAGCTGAGAGCTGAGAGCTGAGAGCTGAGAGCTGAGAGCTGAGAGCTGAGAGCTGAGAGCTGAGAGCTGAGAGCTGAGAGCTGAGAGCTGAGAGCTGAGAGCTGAGAGCTGAGAGCGATGACGATTACTGACGCGCGCATGGCTTAGGTGGCTGCTGGCTACACGCTCTACGGCACGGCGACGATGCTGGTGCTGAGCTCGGGCAACGGCGTGAACGGCTTCACGCTCGACACGACGGCCGGCGAGTTCGTGCTCACGCACCCCAACATCCGGGTCCCGCCCAAGGGCAACATCTACTCCGTCAACGAGGGCAACAGCGCCTTCTGGTACGAGCCCGTCACGCGATACGTCGACAGCGTCAAGAACCCGCCCAAGGGCAACCCCTACTCCCTCCGCTACGTCGGCAGGTATGGCCTCTCCTCTCATCGCACACGCACGACCGCACGACACGCGCAGTGGGCTGACACGCGTGTGTGTCGTGCGACCACAGCATGGTGGCCGATGTGCACAGGACGCTGGTGTACGGCGGCATCTTCATGTACCCGGCCGACAAGCGATCGAAGCAGGGCAAGCTGCGCCTCCTGTACGAGGCCAACCCGATGGCCTTCCTCATGGAGCAGGCCGGCGGCAAGGGCACCACCGGCACCGGCCGCATCCTCGACCTCGAGCCCAAGGGCATCCACGACCGCTGCCCCGTCTTCCTCGGCTCCACCGACCTCATCAACGAACTCGAGGGCTTCTTCGCCGCCGCCTCCGAAGACAAGGCCGCTCTCTAAGCTTCTTCTCTACCCCCCCCCAAACCCACAGTACACAATCGCTTGAACATTGCTCTTCTTTTCTTTGCAACCAGTTGATGGTGGTGATGATGATGATGCAGAAGATGATGATGCAGAAGAAGAAGAAGAAGATGGTGGCGATGGATCATGTGAACACGTCTTCGTCGGTGAAGAGAAGGTCGAGGTTCTTGATGTCGGCTCGGTTGGGCGCTGCGTTCGGTCACGCAACACACACGTCAGACCACCCCACGACACGCACGACACACACGGGGGCGGGGGGGGGCTTTACCGAGGTCCTCGTGCTTGAGGAAGTCGAGGGGGAAGCGGGTGAGGTGGCCGCGGATGGTCATGAGGTGCGACTTCTTGATGTGGCACTCCTGCTCGTTGATGGTCGCGCTCCAGTCCTTCAAGAACAGCAGGCACGGAATCGAGTCGTGCGCCACCACCGGGAACACCTGTATGACACACATAGCGGCGCGCGGGCGTGTGTTTGTGTAAACGCGTGCGTGCGGCGTGTGTGTGCGGTGTGGCGTGTGTCGTGCGGTGTAGTACCTCGCCATAGATCTTGTCGTTGGCGTTCATTCTCGCGCACCACTCGCCCCTGTTTTTTTTGAGAAGATTGGCGCGTGAGTGACTGGAAAGAAAGAAAGAATCGTGCCTTCATGCCAAGAGGGCGGGCGAGTACTTGAAGGTGGCCTCGCACACGGGGTCGTCGATGTTGTCCATTTCGTGGTCGAACAGCCCCAGATGCTGTGAACGCAGCGCAGGTCGTGTCAATCAACACCCCCCCCCCACGTACACGCGTGTCGTTGGCTCAATGAGTTCGGCCTGCGTACCTCGCGCCACAGGCTTCGCCGCAGGTCGTAGGCGAATCTGCACTTCTTGTAGGGCCTGCACAAGTCACGCGCGCGCAAGACATCAGCACACGGCATCGCCGCCAATGACCATTGCGATTGCGACACACAACGTACGCTCCGTTCATGCGCGAGTCCACAAAGTCGGTGTCGTTGAGCATCACACAGATCTCCGAATCCCTGCGCGAGCCGCTCGTCGTCGTCAGCCAAAGAATGAAGGAAGGAACGAACAAAGAGCGAAAAAAGAGTGGGCGGCGGGGCGGGGGGGCGAAGCGAGCGACAGACCTCTTGCCGAGCATGGAGCGGTCGTTGATGTTGGCCGAACCGCAGATGACGAGGCGGTCGTCGACGATCAGCAGCTTCGAGTGGATGTAGATCTGCTCCGTCACCGCCGTGCCCCGCGCCAGGAAATCGCTTCACCCCCGCACAAGCCGCGCTTGTCAGACCTCAAACAGAACGGCCGTGTGTCGTGCTGTGTGTCGTGCTATGTGTCTTGTGTGTCGTGTCGTGTCGTGTCGTGTCGTGTCGTGTCGTGTCGTGTCGTGGTGCGTACTAGGTTCGGAGGGCGCAGAAGACGATGTAGTCGCTAGCGGTCTTGTCCGGGAACTCCTTGGTGAAGCGCTCAAGGATGGAGGTGCCGCCCCGCGTGATCGTGTGGTAGTTCCACCTTACCATTGCCTCGCAATCAGCTCACGACCCGACACACGCACACAGCACACGCACACGCACACGACGATAGCACGACACACGCCGGTGCGTACCGCATGATGTTGCGCACGCTGGCGGAGGTGGCGTAGGTGCCGTCGGGGTGGACGGGGAGGATGACCACGACGCGGAACACCTCACCGTTGACGACGGCCTTGCGGATGCGCTCGAAGATGATCGCCACGATGTCGTTCTCCACCGGCGCGCCCCCCGTCGAGCTGATGAAGAACTGATTCTCTGCATTCATCGCCATCATCGCCATCACCATCATCACCATATTAATATCGCACACGCACGCACGGCACGCACACGCACGCACGGCACGTGCGACACACGCACGCACGGCGCGCACGGGGGGGGGTGTACCGATGTAGATGAAGTGTTCGGCGTTGGAGATGGCGTAGCGGTAGGCGTGGAGGATGGAGGTCTCGGTGTGCGGACCGGACCCGATGGACCACTCGCAGGTGCTGCGCAGGACCTGCGCCTCGCACGTGCCGTATCCGACGTTGGAGTGCGTGCGCGGCGCGACGGCGGCCTTGGGCAGCAGCCACGGCAGCGTCACCCCCTGAATCACCTCCCGGTGGTGGTTCTTCACGACACGACACACGACACGCACCACCGCACACGCACACGAAGGTGTGTTGTGTGAGGTTGGCGACCACCACACATCGCACCGCACACGACACGACACGACACGACACGACACGACACGACACGACGCGATGGGTACCCATCGTTGGATGAAGTTGGCGGCGACGTCTCTGGCCGCGTCGCCGTCCACGACCTGCGGTGAACACAGCGCATATGAGCAAAAAGAAAGAAAGAAAATGAAAAAAGAAAAGAAAAGAGGCGATGGTGGTGCGATGTACGGTGTGAACGTCGTGCCAGGCCATGCGCGGGTTCATGGTGCGGTCGAAGTAGTCGACGTCGGGCCGCTGCACGTTGTTGACCCCCGTCACCAGCGGATTGTAGTAGTCCTGGTCGTGGTGCCCGACAGCATTCATTAATTAAGGGGCCGTGTCGTGTCGTGTCGTGTCGTTGGTCGTGTCGTGTCGTGTGTCGTACCTTGCCGTTCCATCGGTAGGGCGGCTGCGAGTCGGTGATGCGATGACACTGGTCGTCCCACCTCCCCATCGCCAGATCCAATCCGCCCACAAACTATCGCACACCGCACACCGCACACACGCCATCGCACACACCGCACATGCGTCATCGCACACCGCACACGCGAGTGAGACACTCGCGACGGCGTGTGCGGCGATAGAAAGGAATGGAAGTGGGCGGCGTACGGCGTAGTCCTGGTCGACGACCAGGATCTTCTGGTGGTGGGACCACTTGACCGGCGCGACGAGCGGGTGGCGGATGACCTTGATGGCCGGGTGGAGGTTCTCCAGGTACTGCTGCGCGTGCTGCGAGTTGAGGTTGACCGCCACCTTGGTCTCGTTCCAGATCAGCGCGCAGATCTGCACCCCCTCGTTGGCCTTGCGCTGCAGCATCATGTCCAACCGGTTCTCCTCCTTCATCTCCGTCGCGCCTGCAATGCATGCGTGTCGTGTCATGAGCGTGTGTGTCGTGTGCGTGTGCGGTGTGTGTCGTGTGCGTGTGCGGTGCGTGTCGTGCGGGTGAGACGAACCGGTGATCTCGTTTTCGCGGATGAGGTAGATCTCGGGCGAGAAGAACCAGTCGGCGATGAAGATGGACTCCTTGGCGTTGCGAATGGCGCGCGCCATCTCCTTGAACGTGTCCTTCCCATCCACCAGCCAACGCGCATTGATTTTCTGTCGACCATTCATCGCACGCGTCAGTGCGTGTGCGGTGGTGCGTGTGCGTCTCTCTCTCTCTCTCTGTGTGTGTGTGTGTGTGTGTGTGTGTGTGTGTGTGCGCGCGCGCGCGCGCGCGCGCGCGCGGTGGCGTGTGTGTGCGTGTGTGTGCGTGTGTGTGCGGTGGCGTGTGTGTGGGTTTACCTCGTGGAGAGGGAGGGTGCTCTGGAAGGGGAACTGGTCGACGGAGTTAATGCAGTGCTGGTTGATGGCCTTGATCCACTCCTTGCACTCTTCGCTGGTGGCCGCCGCGAACTTGCGCCGATAGTGGGGCGTCGCCACTTCGAAGCTGAACTCGTGCTTCCCGGTCGGAGACCACTTCGCCGAACCTTGGGCCAATCACACACAACACACCAACACAACACAATAAACTGTTATGTTAGTGTCCAATAGGATCACAGAGCTTATATAAGTATGTATATTCAATTTCTATGCGTACATTGGCCAATGCCCACGTTCAGCGACACCACGCGAGATATGTTCTCCTGTGTGTGTCGTGTGTCGTGCGTGTGTGTGTGTGTGTCGTGAGAAAAAAAGTTATATCGATACAAAATATGGGAGGGCGAACGTTACCTGCTTGCGGCTGGTCTCCCAGATGTTGTAGTCGATGTCCTCCTTGTTCGAGTGGATGTTGAGCTGCTTCTCGTAGTAGATGAAGAACCCCTCCTTCAGGCAGCACCAGTGCGGCGCCCACGACGACATGCCCACCCTGCCGCCCACCACGGTCGGTCAACATAGCAGCACGCGCACACGCACACGAAATGTGAGGAATGTTGCATACCGAACGAATTCCTTGAGGAGGAAGCCCTCCTTCTCGGGCCGGCTGTGGAGCTTGGCCTCGACCTTGCGCCACGACTGCTCGACGATGCCCGAGAAGAGGCCGAACGCGTCCCACCACTCGTCCGTGAGCGCGCCCGCGCACCGCGCCTGGAACTCGTCCAGGCCCAGGCTCGGCCGGTCGCCAAAGACTTGGTCTAATCGCAATGTCAGCGTCGGCGTCAAAAAGAACGAAGAGCGAAAAGTGAAGAACGAAGAGAAAAGAACGAAAAACGACAACGAAGGAGAGAAAAGCGAAGGAGCGGGGGGGGGGAGTACCGAGGGCGGCAGATATCGTGTCCGGTTGGCCCTCGACGTGCTTGTGGGTGCGGTGAATTTGCATGTAGAGCTCGACCACCTTGTTACGGTGCACGTAGCCGCCGTCGCCAAACAGTCGACACAGCACTGAAACCAAAGCTGCGTTCAGGAAATTGAACACTCTCATAGGCGAGGGAGAGGGAGGGAGTACGGGGGAACTTTTCCTGCGGGCTGCCGCGCGCGAGGGCAGAGACGGCGGAAATGAAGGACAGGTGGGTGGCCTTGCCCGACCCGTCCACGAAGATTGAGTACGCCCTCTGCTGGAGATCGGCGTACATCTGCAGACGCGATGTGTGTTGGTCATCGAACGCGCGACACACGCGACACACGCGACACACGACACACGGAACTGGGTGACGAGGTGAGTGGGGGCGGGAGGAGAAGTACCGGTTGATCGGCGGCGGGAGGCAGAAGCAACGCGGCCCGCGCCGGCGCGAGGATCTCGGAGAGTGCGAGCTCGCGATAGAAGTAGAACAGTTGCTCCAGCTCGGCCTCGGAGACTGCAGCAGAGCGGTGGTGCCGTCAAGTACTTAGCAACGCGCACTTTCCATGCGTCGATGTGCGTACACGACACGACCAACTACACGACACACACACAGAGAGAGAGAGAGAGATGGAAGAGACGGGGCAAGTGGGGTGTGTACATTTGGTGGTGCCAAGGAGCGGTTGAATGGTCTCCACGCTGTAGGCAAACGGCGGCGGTTTGGTGAAGATCGACGCATCGGTTGTGCTGTCGACGATCCACTTTCGGGTCTGCCCACGAGCGCGTGTGGTGGTCAGCTCGCGCCACCACACACACAACGATCCAAGAGGCTGCAATGCGAGCCAACTGAACTTGTCATGAAGGGGCACCTTCTCGAGTTTGACGAGGGCGCGGTCCTGTCCCGCCTGCGTGATTTCCGTCACCTTGGTCATTGCTCGCCACAACTTGCCCATACTGTGTCGCACACGACACGACACGACACGACCAACGACACACGACACACACGGCACACACGGCACACACGGCACACACGACACAACGCGGTGAGTTTGAAGCGCGATGGAGGGCGCGAGAGCGAGACGCACCCGGTGGCCTTTTCGGACTGGTTGACAATGTCCTTCTTGGGCGCTGGCGTTATGACGCCCGGAGGCGGCGCGGCCGAGGCGGCACCAGTGGGTCCGCAGCACTCCACCGTCGTCGATGACGACGACACCATCGTGCCTCCGCCTGGCGTGGGCGCCACCACCGTCGCGTTGTGGTTGTCCACGATCGTCATGTTCTGCATGTACGGCGACAGCTCGGGCACACCGCCGGCGCCGTACATGGCCGGCGGCGGCCCACCGCTGCACGGAGACGGTCCACCACCGCCACCACCACACGACGACGACGACGACGACGAAGAAGAAGAGGTCATCTGGGGCGGCGGGTAGTACGACGCGGGCGGCGGCTGCTGGTAGTACACCGGCTGCGGCTGGCCGTAGCCCGACGCTGGTGGTGGCTGCGGCTGGCCGTAGCCGGAGGGCGGCGGAGAATGGTAGGACGGCGGGCCGCTGCCCGGGTAGCCGGTCACCCGGTCGCCATAGGCGGCGGCGGCGGGAGCGGGCGAGGGGTAGGTCGGGGCGTAGCCGGAGCCGGGCGGGCCGCCGGTGGAGGGCGGTGGCGAGGGATAGCCGCCATAGGGGCCGCCAGAGCCGGGAGCGGGCGCGTAGCCAGAGCCGGGCGCGGGGTAGGGAGCACCACCCGACATTGGCGGTCCGCCGTAGGCTGGCACAAAATAAATAAATAAATAAAAAGAGCAAATAAATAGGATGAATATGAATAAATAAATAAATATATGTGGTACCTGGAGCAGATGGGGCACCAGGGAAGTGCAGGATGTCGCCGCCACCTTGCGGTGGACCTGCCGCATAGCCGACCCACTGCTGTTGCTGCTGGGGCGGTGGTCCTGCATAGTACCCGCCGCTGCCGTACGGCTGCTGTTGTTGCTGCTGGGGGTAGCCATAAGGTGGTGCGGCTCCTCCATAGGGGCCGTAGTTATAGGGCTGCTGCTGCATCGATCAAATTCGAGTAGAGCAACAAATTACGCTGTTCGCGATTGATGATTACACAAAACGGATGATGGTACGCTGAGCAAGTAGAGATCAAAGGCGAAGGTCAAGGGGGGCAAGTTCCAGGTCCTCGTGTGGCTGCTCGTAGATTTGGCTGAAAGATGGCCAAACAAAAAAAAATGGCTTTTGACCATTTTTCGCCAAAGAACGAAGAGGCCGAGACGACGCGTGAATGTACACTCGAGATGCAGTTGAAGACGTGAAGGTGCAAGAGGGCACGACAGTACCAGAGGGAGAGAGAGACGCGATGGTGGCGTTGTCAAAAAAAGAAGAAAAAAACGAAACAAAAAGAGTTGAGCCAGACCCAAGGCTCAGTCCGACTTGGACTTGTGCAGCCACTTGAACACCCACAGCAGGGTGGGCGACATCACCGACGTCTGGCAGCGGAGGAAAGGGAAACAACGATGAGCGAGAACATCATCGTCATCATCATCATTTCCCATCTTGGGTTCCAAGTCGATGTAGCAAGCACGTACCTGGTTGTGGTAGAAGTAGGTGAGGCCCGACATGGCCGTGCAGAACAGAAGCAGGTCGCCGTGCGGGACGGAGCCCATCCACTTGTGGTCGAGCATCTGCATGTAGATACTGTCGACTGCTCGGGGCAGCGTGTACAGGGCCAGCTCTGTCGTGACCAGACGCCAAGAACACATGGTAAGCCGCACGACGCACACGACACGACACACACGACACGACACACGCGACGATGTGGGAGGTGGTGGGTACCGGAGCGCCTGCCCTTCTTCTCGATGAAGATGGAGAAGGACGAGATGAGGCCGGCGAGGAGATACACGATCCGGTGGTCCCGGCTCACAAAGTTTCGCTGCATGCAGATGATGACCTGGTACATCGCACAGAACGACGCCAGGAACACCGTAGACCTCAGGCTCGACAGCAGACCTGCCCGCGCGTAGTGTCCCACGTGGCCTGGTCAGCACCGCACACGCACGATACACGACACGCACGACACGCACGACACACGTCGGAGAGGCGAACCGCGGCTGAGGAGGGTGACGGGGTTGCGGAGCAGCTTGAAGAACTGGAGCACGATCATGGGGACGAAGGTCAAGGTGGCGTAGATGGGCAGCGTCTTCTTGGAGGTCGACAGGAACGTGTTGATGTTGTGCCCCACGCACGACGACGTGCGCGGGTGCAGGATGCTGCAGGGTATCACCGGCAGCAGACCATCGGGGTCTGATCGTGCGTTGTGTGCGTTGCGTGTTAAACTCGATTATCTACGGCGAGCTGCTGGGAGCGGAGTGCGCACGTGATTTGAGGAAGCCCATGGCGTGGGCGATGGTGGCGGGCGTTCCCAGCTTGGTGACGTAGTCCACTGTTGTGGGGGGGGGGAGAGCACACGGAATCAGCACTAAATTGGGCGCAAAAAAAAAAATGGTCTGGCCGTGTGGAGGTACCGAGCGTCTGGACGTCGATGGGCTTGTTGCGGTTGCTTCGGCGCACCCCCTCCAACACGCACTCATCGATCGGACCTGGCCAGGTCCGCCAAGCCATTTACATTATTATAGAAAAATTTATTTATTTATTTATCGTGTATTTAAATTGTGCATTATCCAATAATAAAAATAGTAATAATTAAAATAATAAGGGCCGTATTTATGTGGTTACCTGAGCGAACGATGAATTTGTAGTAGGAGGGCGGCAGGGTCTCGGGTCGCATCACGTAGGCGTACATGATCTGTGCGGTCAGGCGGGTAACACGGAGCCAGGAAGTAGTGCGGAGATGAGGAACGAGCCAGAGCCTGCGCGCGCGGCACCAGGAAACATGAAGGAAGAGGGAGGAGGAGGCCAACGCGTACCTGAGCGGAGGTGAGAATGAAGAGGAGCGAATCGCCGTGCGCCCAGTCGCTGCCCCAGAAGTGCCACCTGTACAGATCGTAGGCCCAATCGCGCACGATTAGCGCTCGCCCGAGAGTCATGTCCGTGTGCGATGGTGCCTGCGTGCGTGCGTGCGTGCGTGCGTGCGTGCGTGCGTGCGTGCGTGCGTGCGTGCGTGCTGTGTGTGTGTTGTGCGGTGCGTGCGTGATTACATGTTTCGGCGCTTGAGTTCGTTGTAGATGCACTGTGCGAGTCGGGTGAGCAAATAGAGTGCCGGCGTTCGTCTGTTCTCTGTGGATTGAATTCA